AAATGATATAGTTTCTTGTTTGTCGACGGTGCTTTTAATATCATAATATCATATTTTTTCTAGCTCGGCTAGAATTACTGAGAAGTTGTCCTCCATGATTGTTGTAACACACAATCCTAAAAAGTAATCTGATGTAATCTGGAGTAATCTGCTTCGTTGTTTGTTTGATTTGTGGCTCACAGGTGCGACAAAACCATTGTTTTCTCTTGAATATGCTAAGATCAGACATATTAACACACTTAAAGTTCTATATAGTTTTACAATTAAAACACACTGTGGTGGTTTTATCTTCCCTGGTGACTGTTAATTTGCATAATGGACAGGGTGCCATTTCGAGGTATAAAATAAAACTGAAGCAGAGTGGCGGTAGAGAGTGATTGGTGGATAGCGCCAGTAGCAGTGGGTTTTTGCAGAAAGGTATTCTCTTATCAGAACTCGGTATTAATTTCTTATCACTAGCTTAGTTGCGGTTGTAAACTGTTTAACGCCGTATTATCTGTAGATGCTGTAAACACACCACAGAGCAATTTTAATAGTGAGAAAAGTACATTACTCACAAAATTAAATCCCTCGTTATAAGATAGGTTAAAATAGCACAAAGAAACAGAGCGGATAAGCACAGTTTGACGGCGGAGGCCAGACTGATTTTTGATATATGATTTATTTATTCATATTTTCCAACTACAAGTTTACAATTGCTGTGAGTCTGTACCCTTGTATAATACATTTTTATACATAAACAATATGTTACAAATAAGACATGTCAAGGTTCGTGGTTTTTCCTATGAAAGCGAAGTTTGGTTAGAGAGGGGATGCTCTCAAGGATCTTACTAGCCCTATGGAAGCTAGTTTTTGATTAGTTGTTTGGAGTATTAGAAGATCAACGGTTTCCTGCCACTGGATATGTTAGCGGTTCCCCGCCACTGCTTACGTAGACGATCTCGCAGTCGAGGTGGCATCGAACAGCAGAGCCAGATTAAAGGAAGAGGCTGAACGGTGCGCCAACCTTGTAGGAGAATGGTGCGAGAGAAAGAAGATGAAGATGGCGGCTTCAAAGACTCAGTCCGTTCTTTTGAGAGGTAAGACTGACAGGGCCCACCCTATCACTCTGAATATACAGAGAGAAACGATACGTCCAAGTGAGGCGGTCACCTATCTTGGGATAAGGACTGGAAGAAAGTTTAACTTCACCCCTCACTTGGACTATCTGAGAAGTAGAGTGGCCCTGGCTCTTAATGGACTGAGTCGCATCGGGGGCGCCTTTTGGGGTCTCAGATACCCAGCCACTTTGGCTATTTATAACGGAGTTATCTTGGGTATCCTGAGATATGCGTCCCCTGCGTGGAGTCAGACTCTCTCGCACCAACAGAAGAAAAGGTTGGCGACGATCCAGCGTATGGCTCTGCTGCGTGTCACTAGGGCGTACCGGTCAGTATCTCATGAGGCGGTACAAGTCTTAGCCGGAAGTATTCCAATTGATCTTCAACTTCGTGAAGACTACTTTCGGCACGAAATGAAGAGAGATGGCTTCGTGGATCTACCGGCTAATCTCCGAGTGAGGATCAGTGAAGACCCAAGCAGATGGAAGAGGATTCTCCGGGAATGCACATTAGAAGAATGGAACCGGCGTTGGGTGACAACGCCAAAAGGATCAACCCTAAGGAAATACTTCCCCACCGTCGGTTCAAGAATGGAAACTACATGGCTCCTCCCGGACTATTGGGTCTCGCAATTCCTCACGGGGCATGGGGGATTCCGAGCAAAGCTTGTTCAACATGGTAAGAACATTGATCCCCTATGCCCAAGTTGTAGGGTACCGGAGACCGCGGAGCACGGCTTATTAGCATGCACCGCCTATGAGGCATTGAGGGCTAAGTTGCTGAGGGAGACTGGGCTCTATGTCTTATCAGAGCGCGATCTACCTCAGCTAGTGACCAGAGAGAACTACCCGCACTACAAGGCCTTTGTGTACGGGTGGAAAGACATCATTGGCCCAGCCCACTTCTATTTGGGTAGAAGAGAAGAAGCTCCACCACAGAGGATGGAAGAGCCAAGCTAAACAGAAAATCTTATTGTATCGATTGCAGTATTGGCTAGTTATGCACACACGTCTAGCTATCCAATACTGCAAACACTCGTATTGCCAAACTGGCAGGGCAGAGATTTAAATAAATAAATACACTGGATATGTTGATGGTTTGGCCGTAATGGCGTACTCCAATAGCGTTATCCAACTTGGTTGGAGAATGTTGCGAGAGAAAGAAGTTGTCAGTTGTCAATAGCAGCTTCAAAGACCCAGACAATTCTCATAAAGGGAAAAACTAATGGGGCTCACACTATTAATATTATTATTAAAAGAGCAAGAATACATCCAAATGAGTTATTCACTTATCTTGGCGTAAGATTTGGAAAAGGGTTCAACGTTATCCGTTACTTAGAGTACTTTCGAAAAAGAGTGGCCCGATCTTTGAACGGCCTCAGTCGTGTTAGGGGCCCTTTCTGTTACCTCAGATACCCAGTAATATTGAAAATTTATAAGAGAGTGATTATGGGTATTTTGCCTGGAACCAGAACCTTTCGCACCGATAGACGAGTAAGTTGGCGACAATCTAGCGAATGACTTTATTGCAGGTCACCATGGTGTATAGGAGCGTATCACATGGTTTTAGAAAAAATAGATCATGTCAGGAACAAATTTTGAGCCTTAAGCTATTAATCAAACACTACAGGACTAAAAGTAAAAAGAACCTTTTTATCTCTTTCGTCGATTTTAAAAAGGTGTATGATTCGGTAGATAGGAAAACACTACTTGAAGTACTAAAAGAATACGGAGTTGACCAAAAAACTAGAAAACTGATGGGACTAACGATGACAGGGACTGAATCTAAAGTCAAATTCCAAGAAAATGTCAGTGAACCATTTCAGATCACAACGGGACTTCGACAGGGAGAAGAGTTGTCTCCAATACTGTTTAACGTAGTACTCGACAAGATCATAAAGGAACTATGGAAAATCAACAATTCAGGTGCAACGCTAGGTACTAAGAACAATATCGTCAAAATTGGATGTCTCGCATACGCAAACGACGTTGCTCTTTTATCACAAACTGAAGAAGAGGCGATTGCCCAAATAAACACCCTCTCGAAAATAAACAGGAAAACAGTCTTACAGATATCTTTTGAGAAGACGGAATTGATGACCACGGACGCGAATTTTAAGAAGAAAGCAATTGAAACGAAATACGGAACGATTAAAGTAACTCAGAGATTTAAATACCTTGGAGAAATCATATACAGCAATGGGTCAGAGAGAGAAGGGTTTAAGGAAAGAATCGCCAAAATAGAGAAATTAAGCTTCGCCACCAGTGAGCTTTATAAAAAGAAAAACTTGTCTCTAAAAGCCAGAATACGACATTATAACACGGTCGTCAAGCCAGTGGTACTCTACGCAACAGAAACTTCTTGTCTTCCCAGCCTAGAGAGCCTTCTGAAAATAGAAAGAAGAATCTGCGGACCTAGGAGAACAACTGAAGGATACTGGTTGAGGTCAAATGAAGACATATATAAGGAAACAATAGATCTAAAAACTGACGCTAGAGTGGAAAGGCTGTGGTTCTATGGCCATATGATGAGGATAAATCCTGAAAGACTTAACCATAAAATCTTTCAGCACATCCACAGTCATGAGAATTTAAGCGGGTATTTTAAACAGCTTAAGGATGATATGGAGCAAGTGGGTCTAATAGGTCAAGATTGTTTGGACAGAGATGAGTACAGGAAAACGCTCAAGGGAATAACGGTTCTTGCGGGAAAGAAGCGCTCTAAAAAGGGTGTTGCGTGGTCTGAGGAGAGAAAACGTAAGCACGCGGAGCTCATGAGGGGCATATGGGAGAAGAGGAGGCAGATGAAGAGGAAGCATTAAATTCATGATATTCGCGAGGTCTTTAAGGTCTGTTCGTGAAAAAAAATGGTTATACCTGTTTTTTTTTTTTGTTTTTTTTTTTTTTTTTGGGTCCTTCCCTTCCTCGCCGTTAAGGCTATACGGGATTTTCCCGGGCCAGGGAGTGTGGGCGGGGATTTAAAAGACTCCCCCGGCACCGAGACGCGAACACGTGACTATTTTTATATCTTTGATTCATATGTCAGGTTGCCAGGCAACTGCGGTGCAGTACACACGCTTTAGACCATTCGGCCACCCCGCCCACGGTTATACCTGTTTTATGTTGGCTATTAAATAATAAGACCAATTGTTGTAAACACATGAATTAACATGTAGCATATACATACGACTGACTGGCTTCACGCCACAGCCAACTATAACCAACATGGAGGTAACAACAGTGTCGCCACAATATCTTACACATTATAATATCCAAACAATACCATCTGTAACTACCTACTGCTAGTCATAGTGAGATACTTTGTTTTATGTTATGTAACTGCTATATAAAACTTTTGATCATGAGTTTATATATCTATATTTATGTTTACGGCTACTAGGTAGGCAAGTATTGTGATTGGACCAGATTTTCGATATGTGGTTTTCAACGGATCTTTACGTTTCAGAGCTCTCTGAATTATAAACATTATTTGCCTCTCTAATGGATGGGCCTATTTCTTTTTTTTTTTTTTTTTTTTTTTTTTTGTTTGTTAGATTTCGGACGCATCTATAAATCAAATCGAGCGCTCCCTGCGCTAGAGGAGAAAAACGTATTTTTCCATTGGTAATAACTTGTATAAGGATTTTCTTCACAGACGTAATACAGTTGATAAAACTAATAATATTTTAACTTAAGAAAATTGATGTCAATGAGATATCAAAGTACGTTACCAATGTATATCCAAAAATGTCATGCTTCCCGCAACTGCAAAGTTCTAGTAGAAAACAGATTCATATTAAAACATATTAATTTTATTCTTAGGAATAATATAATAAAAAAAACACATTATCAATGTGTTAGTATAGTTTCAAATTTTATTATTCTTTGGCCTGGAATTATTGAATCTCTTTGGGCTATCGATAGTTTAACCTCACATTATAACAGTTCTAAAAACGTTTGTTTATAAACTTACCTTTATATTTTTTAGTGTATGATGCTCAGTGGTTGATTGTTATATTTCTGATATTCTTTCTTTCTATTTACTCAAAATAAAATGGATGACGATTATGATGATGATAGACCATGGGATGGGGAAATGGGAGATGATGTGAGTTTTATTCAAATAAAATTTTATAAAAATTGACTATATTTTTATTGTATCCGACTTTATTTATGTCTTAAAGTCAGATGCTGGCGAGGAGGCTATGGATAATCCCCAAGAAGTTTTAAGAGAATGTTTAGAAAAGTTTAGTACCCCTGATTATATTATGGAACCTGGAATCTTTTCACAATTAAAAAGGTTTAAAATTTGTATATTTGAAACATTCATATTTTAAGTGCTAATGGATCTTGATGATGACTTCATCTTTTCAGATACTTTCAAGCTGGTGGAAACCCTGAACAAGTCATTGAGTTATTATCACATAATTATAAAGCTGTAGCCCAAATGGCAAATCTCGTTGCTGAGTGGCTTATACTTGGAGGTTGGTATATCTTCAGATAAGCTATCTGCTACTTTTTACTTTTACTTACTCATATGCAAAATATATAGTTAGAGAAAGTATTGTGATTGTCAAAAACTATGTGAATATGAGTTTTCAATGGAAATACATGTTTAAAGGTTCCTTCTGTCCAAATAGTTAAGTTTCAACAAAAAGGCAGTCTGTATGTGTACGTGAAATGTGTAGTCCAAAAACAAACAGATCTATGACTCTGAAAATATATATTTAAGTTAGATACGTGCTTGGAATGTTACAGCAACGTTTTTGCTGCAATTGACTTATCAGAAGTGGCATTTTATCATAATCATCAATTCTCGTGGCGGAGCTGGACTCCCATGTGCTCGAAGCTCAGGCATTGGTCCTCCTCAAGAGGAGCAACCACTATTGATGATAATGAAGGATATAATTTTAAGATTTCTAAAATTTTCTCGAAAATGGCTGAAATGATTTTGATTTAAATCCTTATATTGATGTAAAATTTAATAGCCTTTATTATCAATTAGGCCTTATCCTCATTGAAATAGTTTGACAGGGCTTAAATTCTTTCTCCATAGTACCTTTCATTTTGATTATTACAAATAGTCAAAGAATTTTCATTGTCAATAGTAATGAAAATTGAAGACAAATTAACTGAAGATAAAATGGTAGAATTATTTTTGCAGATTGAAAAAGAATTTCTAGAAATAAAATTAGTCTTATAAATGTATCATTGGAAAACTTTAGATTTTAGAAATATCCTAATAAAATATGTTTGTCAATGATATACGAAAAGAGATATAGTGAGAAAAAATTTTTTTTCTTTTTTCATTCATGATGGTGAAAATCAATCTCAATTATAAAGAATACATAAAATTCTAGGAGATGTTGAGTATCGTTCTCGGAAAATATCAAAATTATGTTTATTCCCAGGGAAGAAGTGAAATATTGACAATCATTGTTGAATTATTTTAGTTTCTTTTTAATTTGCTGTTCTTAAAAAAAAAAAAAATACCGCTTTTAGTTCGAATCAAGGTTTCTCACTGTCTTGGTTGTCCTCTTTCCTTCTTCCTGGTATGTTATATTCTCAACTCTTTTTTTTTTTTTGGAACATTACAGGCCTGATGCTTTTATTAATGATTATTAATTAATTTTATGATTATTAATTGGACTATAAATTCTTCAAATTACTTTATTTTCAACAATTTACTGACAGAATTTGTGATATAGTCAAAATTCATGATTCGTGTGTAATGCTAACATTTTTTTAATTAATAGCAGAAAATTTGTTTTTAATATATAATATGAGAGATAAAACTAAATTGATCTCTTAAGTATTTTGCTTATTTGAAAAATCTTAATGAAATATTTCTTGTTAACACATTATTATTCTTTAATTGGGTAGTGTTTAAAAGTGGTATGAAATAAAAACCTAATCCATTCATATTTATCTTTAATACGTGTACGTTTAATATTTTCAAAATATAATCATTACATAGAATTGAAAAAATAACTAAATTTTTAATCATCATTTATTTCCAAGGTGTGAAAGTTCAAACTGTTCAAGCTATGGTGGAAAATCATTTAAAGGAAATGATATTGAAAACATTTGATCCTAAGAAAGCCGATACAATTTTTACTGAAGAAGGAGAAGTTAGTCTACGAATATTTAGTTAAATTTATGTAGTTTATTGTTCGAATTAATATTTTTAATGTTTAATTTATATTTTTAGACGCCAGCTTGGCTTACAGAAATGATTGATCACCCAACATGGAGATCACTTATTTACCGTTTAGCAGAAGAATATCCTGATTGTTTGATGCTAAATTTCACAATAAAGGTACATCTATAAGTAGTAACATTATACTGTAAATTTACATAATTTGTATTTGTATATTTATTTTGTTGTCAAGGTAATATATGATGCAAGCAGAGTCAATATTTTGAAGTATTATTATATTTGTCGTCCAAAAATAAATGTATGACAAAAATTAATATAGGCCAAGTGGGCTTAAGAAAGGTGCAATAGATATTTGAATTGAAAATTGTGGTCAGGACGTAGTAATATATTTTATGGTGCTCAATATAATTTTTTATTTTTTCTTGTTCAACAAGTTTCTCCTGAAAGACCTTATGCTTTGCAAAGAGTCAAGAGATTCAGTTATTCAGGAGGGACCAGTTTATTTCCAAATGTGACCTGATGGTGAAGGAATACTTGGAGAATCTATATACCATTTACCAAATATTAGAGATTTATCTCAAATATTCAAGTTTTTTATTAAATTAAATTAATTTTCTTATTATTTTATTTAATTTGAGGAATGTGTTATTTGTAGTTGATTTCTGATGCTGGCTTTCAAGGGGAAATAACTAGTATTTCTACTGCTGCTCAGCAAATTGAGGTATTTTCAAGAGTTCTAAAAACAGCAATATCGGGATTTTTAAATACAAGTGATGACTGGCAAAAAAGTATTGAAGAGTGTGCTGTAAGTATTATCGAATAAATGACGTATCTTATATCTATATTCTATTTTCAGTTACATTAAGGCACCCTTAATGTAATAGCTCGATCACCCAAATAGAACAATAGATGATGTAGTGGAGCGAATTAATTGCAAGGAAAGAACCCAATTTCATTGGTACTCCACTCCATCATTCCATTCACTGACAGGCTATGAGTGATTCGTGCTTCTACAGGCCATTTTCAAAACTATTCTGAACTCAAGAACACTAACACACTTTTATTGGGGCATTAATAAAAATATTGTCACCAAATATTTTTTATGAACATTCAGAACAGTGGAGTTAGTAACTTTCCTACCAACAATACATGATTGATAATTTTAGTCGCCTTTTTTTTTTTTCAACAAAATAAAAAAAGTTGGTAAACACATATTTACAGTTTAAAAATATTCAGTGTACAGTTTAATATAATTCTTGAAAAATAGTTCTTGGAATTGTAGTGTTTCTAGAATAGCTATAACATTAAATAAGTTAATCATTACTCAAGAAATAACATAATAGTGGAGATTTTAAATTATAATTTCCGTTTAAAATTAAATTAATTTTATTTTTATATTGGGTTCTTCTGAATAATTAGAAATGTTTAGGTATTTTAAATATAATTGATGATAAAAAATGAAGAAAAATTGTGAGTTATTCATATAAACATATTTTTAGTACTAATATCACAAGTTTTAAATTTACTGTATTTACTGGTCAATAATTTATTAAAAGACTTGTATATAGATTTATTATATATATATTTAGATGCATTAGGTCTTAAGGTAGAACTAATCTTTACCCTTGTTGGTCTTAATGGATTTTGTCACAGAATAAAATTATTTTTTCTACCCTATTATGTTTTATTATACAAAAACAGGCGGTGATTCATTGTGTTTGATGAAATGTTTGCGATAATTAATTTAACATAATTTTAAACTCTACTTGTGATTGAATATAACTTTTTATAGTACCTTCAGTTATTTTTCTATTAAAAATTAAAAAAAAAACATTTTTTATTATTTTGATGTTTCTATTCTAAAATTATTTGAGGGTTTTTTTCTCATATCTCAGTCTCGTTGAAGCAGACTTACTTAAAATCCAATGAAACATATTTCAATTATCATGATATTCATTGTTTTTATCTTTATTTACTCCAAAAAAGTATATTACATGTAGTACAACAGACATGAATGTTGGCAGAATGGCGTAAATATAACAACTGAGTTTGAACTTTTTTTTTTTTATTATTTTATATTGGTAGCCTTATCACCTTATATATCTTCCTGATACTTACTCTTTATGAATTTTGTTGAAACATTACTATTGGTTGTCTTCTAAAATAGTTTTCATTGCCACTATCATCTTTTTCTTTATCAATCGATTATGCATTCTACAAAAGGTTATTTTCTAACTTTCCCTTATCATTGAATACACTTTTTCCTTTAATTGAATAAAAATTACTTTATTGATTTTTAACAATGTTTTTAACAATTAATATTTTATATTTCAGAAAATGGTCTGCCATGGCCAGCATACTTATGTTTATTCTCAAGTATTACTTCATGTACTTTCAAAAGAGAGCAAAGGAGGTTCCATAATGAAAAGATTAGCTCAAGAAATCACTAAATGTGCCCAATCTCAGTATGTAATCTTAAATGTATTTTTTATTTTATTGTATTGTTGAGTTGACCTAATTTAATGCTTACTATTTTATTAACTGTAGATAAATAATTGACTGCCATAGATATATTTAACAGAAGTTTGTTAGGATGTTCAGTCAAAAAGTAAAAATAAATAAATTTTATTTATTTATTTTTTTGTTGACGTTTCATCCCGAAGTTCAGGTTTTCATCAGGACTTAGAAAAGACAAGATAACATAGATATGAGAAAATATTAAGCATCAAAAGTAATAATATGTAGATAAAAGGTGTAGTCTGATAACATGTATATAGTAAAAACGTAAAAGTTATGTACTTATGAAATAAACAATAATAAAAATGGTGGTAACAATATAATGAAATTCATATAGTAATAAAAAATGAAATAACAAAGAAATGTAATGAGATTAATAGATATAAAATAAAAAGTATTAGTAAGACATAAAATAAATAGGATGACATAGTTGCATGAGTTTATGCACTAGTATATTAAGAGGAAGTGAGATAAACATAGAATAAAAAAGAGAAGAAAAAAAAAAAACAGAGAAGCGGAATATGAAGTTATGTAAAGAAAATAATAGATGTACATAGAAAAAGTAAGATATAGTAAAATCTATCAAAACATACTGTATGAATAGAAGAGAATTACAAAGTTAAAATTATGTAAATTAAGAAGACAAGATGCAATAAGTAAATGTATCAATATAAATGAAATAGTGGCATGGATAGGGAAAAGAAAGTAATGGTAGAAAGGTAAACATACAAATCTAAAAGATAAATGGAAAACCAACCTGTTGTCCTTACGAAAGGCTCTGGAAGACAAGATTTGACAGTAAGAAAACAACTAGAACTAACTTAGTGCACTGTGTGACGGTTAACGGAAATAAAGTACAGAAACTTATATTATGATTAAGAGGTTGATTATAGATAATATTTCATGTATATACTATATTAATTTGTTAAATAATAATAATAATAATAATACGGCTTAGCGAACCCGAAGGTTCGATGCCGACACCACCAATCGCTTGTTACACACCTCCCTCCACCGTTCGCCGTCCAAACCTAGTCCCTTCAGATCGGCTTTAATGCAATCTTCCCACCTTCGCTTCGGTCTACCCCTCGGACGCTTACCATTCGGCACAGCAAATATTAACCTTTTAGGAATTCTCTCGTTACTAAGCCCAACAACTTTACAAGCCCATTTGATTCGCCGCGATGAAATTACCTCAATTATATTACCCGGATACATCTCACGCAATTCGGCGTTGTGTAACCGTCTGAACTCTCCGGTTAACTCATCCTTCTTCGGTCCGAATATTCTACGCAATACTTTATTTTCAAAAACCTTAAGACGCTGCTCATCGCTTAATGTAAGCAGCCAAGTTTCGCATCCATAAAGAACTGTAGGCAAGATAATTGTTTTATAGATTCTAATTTTTAAGTTTCGGGACAAGAGGCGCGAACTAAGTAGTTTTGTCACAGAAAAATAACAAGCATTCCCCGCCTTCAGTCTAACCTTAATCTCTTCTTCAATTTCGTTTTTTCTAGTTATCGTAGAACCTAGATACCTAAATTTATCTACCTGTTCAAACATATTACCATCTATATCGATATCACCAGTAGTATCGCCATTTTTGCAGCTAACCATATATTTTGTTTTATCCACGTTTATTTCGAGTCCTAGTTCTTTACCGGCTTTCATTAACGTTGTCGTATTTAGTTTTATAGTTTCAACGTCTCGCTTAACAGTACCAGATCATCAGCATAGCCCAGCACGGATGTTGTCCCGCCCAGATCCAACCCTTTCTCGGTTCGCATTACCTCCCTAATGGCATGTTCTAATGCCAAATTGAACAGGACAGGCGAAAGAGAATCCCCCTGTTTTAAGCCCGAACGAACCTCAAATTTTTCGGACAAATTATTACCGATTCTAACTTTATTGAGTGTCTCTGTCAAGCACATCCTGACTAGATTTACTAGTTTTTTTGGAATCCCCTGCTCGATTAGAATATTATACAGTTTCTGGCGGTCAATAGAATCGTAAGCCTTTCTATAATCTATATACAGCTGGTGAACAATACCGTTATACTCCAATTTTTTCTCTAATATTTGCCGTAAAGAAAATATTTGATCAATAGTCGAACGATTCAGTCTAAATCCGCATTGGTAGTCTCCGATAATTTCCTCGGCGTATTCCGTGATTCGACTAGTTAAGATTGAAGTGAATATTTTATAACATACCGGAAGGAGTGAAATTCCTCGATAGTTATTACAATCCGTCCTCGGACCCTTTTTGTGAATCGGAATAAGAATAGATTCTTTCCATTCTTCAGGTAATTTCTCGTTCACCCAGATCTTTTTAACCAACCGATGTATTTTAGAAACTCCAGCTTCCCCGCATGCCTTAATTAGTTCAGTAGGAATATTGTCGGTTCCCGCTGCTTTATAAGATTTTAATTTTCCGATAGCTAATTCAACTTCCTCTTTACTCGGTCCTTCTATCAACGGTTCAGCACTCTGGTACTCAGAAGGAGGACACAGATCATAATTTCCCGTATTTAAAATATTGTCAAAGTGGTCCTTAAACTTATTCAATATGTCAACCGGATCGGTCAGAATATTGTTATTATCATCCCTAATTCCAGACGTTACGGGCCCTACATATTTACGTGATCTGTTTATACCTTTGTACATGTCTCTTACGTTATTTTCGATTCTATTAGTTTCTATTTCAATTATTTTATTTTTAAGATACTCCCTTTTTTTATTTTTGAGCAATTTTGTCGTTTCGTTCTTTGAGGTTCGGAAGTATTCCAGATTGGCGTCGCTAGGATTATTTAAAGCTTTTAATTTAGCGGCTTTTCTTTTTTCACACATGATTAAGCAATCTTCATCAAACCACGGTTTGTTATTCTTATTTTCCTTTTTTCCTAGACACGAGTTACCGCATGCTTTAATATTATCTCTGATCTCTATCCATAACTTGTCAATATCCTCGTGGTCCTCGTCAGGAAGCTCTAAAGCTTCAAACCTATTCTTAACATCTAGCTCGAATTGGTTTCTAATTGATGGATTTTTTAATTTTTCCAAATTAAAATTCTCAAAATCGAAACGGTTTTCTTTTCTCTTTTTTATATTAAGTTTTTGTCGAAGTTTCGCGATTACTAATTCATGATCCGACCCACATTCTGCTCCGCGATAAGACCGTACATTAATTATACTGCTTTGCCAGCTGTGTTGTATCAAGACATGATCGATTTGATTTCGTGTTTGCGAATCCGGTGATGTCCAAGTATATTTATGAATATCCTTATGTTTAAACGTCGTACTTTTAATTATCAGATTTTTCGAGATGGCAAAGTTTATCAGACGGATCCCATTATCATTACTATATTCGTGCAAACTTTCTTTACCAATCGTCGGAATATAAACTTCTTCCCTTCCTACCTTTGCGTTCGCGTCACCTACAATTATTTTCATGTAGTTTCGTGGTAGTTTATCATAAACCCATTCGAGTTTATCGTAAAATTCACTTTTGACTTCATCGTCACTGTCTTCGGTCGGACAATGTATGTTTATTAATGCGATTTTAAACCAACGTCCCTGAAATGTAGCTACCGAAATTCTATCACTAAAGAATTGTACGTCCCTCAAAGTGGATAGTAATCTACGCCTAATTAGAAACCCGGTACCTAAACAATGATTCCCGCTTCCTCCGTACCAAATAGTGTACTTTCCTTCCCTCATCGAGCCCTCCCCTGGCCAGCGAACCTCTTGCAGAGCCACGACATCCAAATTGTACCCATTTACCTCATTCGCGACCGATTTTAGCCCCCCTGCTGTGTTTAAACTCCTTACGTTCCACGTACCAATATTTAAATCCCTACATTTCAACTTGCGCCATGAATCCCCTAAAGCAGTCCCCACCCGGAGACCCGAACGGGGGACTAGTTTACCTCCGGATAATGAGCGTTTCACCTTAGGGAGATCCATGACTTTTTGTGGTGTTTGGTGAACTAAAGATATGTGAGTAGGGCGTTCAATCCTACGTCACACCCTCCAGCAAGTCTGGTGGGCCCCTACCTCCAGCAAGTCTGGAGGTCCCCTCCCTCCAGCAAGTCTGGAGGGCCCCTCTCATTGTTGGTCAGCGAGTCCATCGGACTTAGCCGGGAGGAACTTCCAAGGAATTTCCACCGACCATCCCCACATCCGCCACCCGTGGGACGCTCCCCATACGCGGTAATGAGCCCGCGCGAGGATATATTAATTTGTACAGAAATAAAATATCTGGAGATAGTATAGTACCGAGGCCATAAATATTAAATTATTTAATAATTTAATAAATATTAAGTGCCAGGCAATGCAGTGCTGTGCACACGTGTTAGCCTGGTCAACCATCCTGCCCTTCATAAAACAGTTCACCTTTCTAATTTTGGTGTTTGTGGTGCAAAACTCATATTGAAAAACAAACATCTAATAGATATGTTCAGGAGCGGGGTAGCTCAGTGTATGAGTACTGACTTCCGGAGCTCAAGGTCCCGGCTTATTTCAACATATGCTATTAAAACTTGATATTGTTTCTCGTTTATATAGAACTATTAGATCCTCTTTATAAAAAAAAGTATTATTAGTTGTTCATATAATCTACATGAGTTTCTGAGTAGTTTTGTTATACTAAGCTCTAGAGAAAATTTATTGTTTTTATAGGCATGACGTTACACCCATCACAATGGCTTTAAACAATTCAGCAGGTTTTCCACAGTCTTGCCAAGCTCTGTCTTCTATGTTGTCAAGAAATGCACTCAACCCTGCTGATATCACAGTTCTTCATCGTAATTACTCAGGATCTGATCCACCGCCAATTGATCTCATTCGTAATCCTCAATTTTTAGGTACTAACCTATTCCATTTGCTTCTTGTCTTTTATATGTATTATCTTTTCATCCATGCATACATATTTCTTTTAATATATTTCAGAGTTATTAGTGGATTCCCTTTTTCGACCTGGAGTAAAGTTAAATCCAGAACATAAATCTAAGTATATGTTTCTACTTGCTTATGCAACAAGTGTTAGTGAAAGTGTACCGTCGGGTAGTAAGAGCAAAGGGAAAAGAGGTTTAAATAAAGAAGAATTAAAAGCAACTTCTCTGGCCATTGATAAAGTACATAACATTTGTTGTACTGGCAAAGGCTCAACTGAGCTAATTGCTGATTTATCTACTCTCTATAACTGTATCAGGTAACTTATATTTAATTATGGTATAAAACTGTTTTTAGCTCTACGGTAAACATATGAATTATATTATTATATTTTCAATAAATATATATATATATATATATATATATATATATATATATATATATATATATATATATATATAATTTAAACATTAATAGAAAGTTAAGCAAAGTAACCTTTTATTTTAAATCTAAAAATTAGAAAAATAAATATAATGAGTAAATTGTTGCTAACACTATTAAATAGATATCTATTGTAGAAAAAAATATATATGGTGATTTATTTTTTTTAAATATGGTTCTTTTCCAGATTTCCAGTTGTTGCCATTGGAATTGTAAGATGGGTTGAATGTATAGTCACTGAGCCATCTTATTTCAAGCTTTCAACAGAACATACCCCGATTCATTTAGCATTGCTTGATGAAGTGGTTACAAACCATCCTCTGCTACATCACACTGTACTTTCACTTTTCATTCGACTTTTCGAATCAAAACAAGATGAATTAGAAATTTTGGTGCAGGTATTTTTTTTTTTTTTTTTTTAATGTTTATTGTAAATTTTAATTTTATTTAAAATAAGCCACTTTAGCCACTGGATATGTTTTTTTTTATATTATATTAGTTTTAAGTAAAACAATTTTAATCTAAAAAACTGTGCCTCTACAACCCATAAAGGATTTTCTTGGGCTCAGTAGTGTTTCAATATCAATGATTGTGCAGGTTGATGACAGAGATCGTATTCAACTGCCAGGTTTTTCTTTAATTAATTATTTAGTTAAAAGTGGTCACTTTATAGAGGCTGGGTGTGCTCCAGAAGAGTCTCCTGATCCCAGAGTCGATCCACGACTGGTGTAACACAATAAATAATTACCTTCAATAGCCAGACTAGAATCCGATAACTTAAACATTGGAAGTCAGTGCCTTAAAATAAACCCACTGAGATAAACTACTCTCAATTCTGAAAATAGATAAAATAAAATAAAAAAACATTTTCCTGAAACACAACTTATCATTTTATTTTAAAAAATGAATATAATAAAAGTTGTGTTTGAGGAAAATGTCTTCTGATTTGATAATTATTTCCATCCCTACCTAGCCTGCATGGCAATATGGGATTCACCAGCAGTAGAACGTAGCTGAATGCATAACACCACTGCTGCCAATTATCTTAGCTTCATTCATGGTTTCCTAAGATCTATTTTCTTTATCCATCTTTTTATTATACTTTCTGTGGATCTACCTGTTGTAGGGCCTTATCTTCTTCAAGTTCCAAGGTGTGGTTGTCCCACCCTTCTTTTTATCCATAAATGAATTATTTGAACCATGGGAAATGGTCTTCACTCACTATTTGAGAAAACTCATTTTCAGTGTAGATTCCTGTCGCTCTTGAGGACTCAAATGGAGTGCAAATCCTGACCACGTGCTCTACAGTTTCCGAAACAGCACAAGTTGGACTTAAAGAATCTACATCATTGCCAAGACTGTGAAGCTTGGCTCGAAATCCTCTATGCCCAGTGAGGAATTGGGGAATACAGTAGTCCAGAAGAATCCACTTCGCCTTTAGCCTCAACTTTATCTTGTATTTCCGTAATGTACTAGCTTTAGGAATAGTTCCCCACCACCGGCTCTATGCTTCGATCATGTCCTTTCAGATTATTTTCTTCCATCTATTAGGTGCATCCATAAGCTTTACCTGAAGATTTTCAGGGAAGTCCTGTATAGCTTTCTCCTTATATAAATATTTCGTCACTTCTTCTCGCAGGAGTAGGTCGAGTGGTACTGCCCCTGCTAAGACTTGCACTACTTCATGTGACGTATTGTAGGCTGTGGTGATTCGCAGCAGAGCTATTCTTTGGATCGATGCCAGCCTGTTCCTTTAACACAGTTTGAGTTTTTGGTTCCAGAAAAGTCTGATTTGATATGTACAAACATACATTTTTTTATTCAATTAAGTTACTATGCTATAATTGTCTTTTATGAATATTTAATTGTTGTTGAAATAAACTCTGTTACATTACATAAATTGTTTTTTTTTTTAGCTTGAAATGAAAAAGATGCTAATAGAAAGAATGGTTAACTTACTTTCAAGAGGATGTGTGGTGCCAGTTGTGAAGTACATTAAGCAGTGTTGGCAGAGAGGAGATACCGACATATCTCTAATTAGATACTTTGTCACTGAAGTATGCCAATATTTAAATTGTTCTGACTTAAATAATTAAAGATGAAATCACTTAAACATTTTTTTTCTTTGTTTTTATAGGTTCTTGAAGCTATAGCTCCTCCATATACATCTGAATTTGTCCAGCTGTTTCTTCCAATCGTGGAAAATGAAGAGATAACCGGTAATATGAGAAGTGAAGAAAGTGATCCTGTTTCTGAGTTCATAAGTAAGTTTAATTTTTGAAAGTTGGCTGAGTTTGATTTATTTGATGTTGGTATGGTATATTGCTTTCTTAAAATATCTGGTGAAGTGCATCACACAATTTTCACTTAACTCCCTACTTTCTGTAGACATTAATTTTTATAAAAGTTAAATAATCATAAAAATGTTACTTTTATTAACAATACAAATTCATGACAATTAATAAAAAGTATGTCTATTCCTGGCCACTATATATTTTTGATTTGTCTAACTGAAATAAATGTCCAAGTTTGCCATTTATTCTTCATGGAAATTCCATTTAGTTTCCGCTAAATCATTTTATTTTATATTCAGTAATGTAAAAGTAGACATTTTTAACTACAAAAATTAAATGTCATTCATTTTTATCACTCTCCCTTATTCCTATGACTTTATATGTTTGATATTTTTTTTTTCTCTAAAATCTTAATTTTTCCAACAGTATATTATACATTTATGTCAGTGTTCTTATTTTCAAACATTCTATTTCAGCACATGAAAATATTTCTCCCATTTTCTCCTTCAATGGCCTAAAGCTTAAATGGCTAATTTTCGAAAAATTTTCCTCTGAAGTACTTTTACTTTTTTTATTTGAAATAATTAACCATTTCACATTTTAACCTAGTATACAAAATGGTTAAATACAACTAATGAAGAAAATTTATTGGTAACTAAAGGAGAAATAAGCATTAATTTTTATATATAACTTATCCATAATTTTTAAAAATGATTTTCATGAGAAATGTTGATGATCTACTAATATAAACTTAATAATATACAATTTTTACTAAAAATTAAGTTCTTTTTTTTATGAGTTTTATGATAAATGTTTCCAATAAAAAGCAGAATTTTTCAAAAGATCCATTTTCTTCCACAGTCATTAGTATTGTTTGATACTATACACAGTCATAATAGGAAGTAGAAAGTGATGCAAATGTATAAATTTAACAGATTTGATGGGTGAGAAAACATTGTAATTAATTGTTTTAAATGAAATTATACCATCGTTTTCACTTTGATATTCCTATATATGAAAATACCTAACCACTCTAAGTGAAAGTTATGTGATGCGTACACCGCACCAGATTTTTACTCAAAGAACCTTAAAATGCATTCATTGCATTATATATTTTTTATTGTGAATCTTAAAATAATTTTTTTAAGTTACCATTTATTTCCACAGAAACATTTAGGTAATATAAAAGTTGAGATTATTAGTTTTTTATTGCTCCTTTATATCTTCTATGTCTTTATTAAAATATTGTTTCATTCTGGAAAAACCTTTCTCCGTAGTGAAATGTTACCACTGGCATTGAAATATCATTATTTATTTTAAATAAACCAAATTGAAGGTAGCTTAGAGGAAGCCTTTTAGAATATTCAGCATGTAAGCTCTGTCATACTATTTCAGTAAGAATTAAAACTAGCTATAAAATAACATTTAATTGTACATTGATTTAATGAAAATAGTTTGAGCCATTTCAGAGAACATTGTAAAAATCTTAATTTATGCAAAAATGTTTGCTACGATCTTGTCAAACCACGATAATGAATTAGAGGTTATTTCTTTAATTTACATTGTTAATTAATTACATAGTTTCTACGATCAAGCTATTTATTATAAAGATTTCTTTAATTTATTTTAATAGATTGTTTTTTCTATTTTCAGTTCATTGTAAAACTAATTATGCGGCAACATGAGATTTGTAGAACAGGTAATTATATAAAATTATTAAATCTTTTTCTAAAAATGAACATTAATGTACTTGCTATTTCAGTCTTCAGTTTTTTTTTTTTTTTCATAAATGAATTCACTTTAATCTATAGGGTAATATGAGTATGTTGATTTATCTAAGACTATTTTATCCTAAGTTATAATTTTTGATGAATTTTCGTTTTTTTTTTTTCTGATGATTTTAAAGATTAAACTAACTTATGACTGAGTTGTGCAAGAAGTACCAACTATGCATATTTGTTTCAAGGCTAATCTGTTTTATTTAAATCTTATCGAGAAAATAAAAGCCACTATCTGTAAGAATTTATCTACAAACTAATCTGTGAAGTTGACACAATAACAGAATAAATTTAAGAACAGCAAATTATATGAGAAGCTAAAAAAGAACTAAGGTAAGAATTTCAGAAATATGTGTTTGACCTTTTGTGCATAACACAGCCAATATATTCAATTCAGATGACATAAGGTTTTTTTTACTCTTGTACCTAAACAGTACTCATCAAATTTAAAATATAACTCCATTTTTTTTAAATTTTGGTGAAAAGTCTTTCCTCAATAACTGGAAATGTTTTTTCTAAAACAAAATAATCATAAATATTATTGAGGTTTTTTTTTTTTTTGGCTATAAAGACTTGCCGAAATCTGTCCTATTGTTGATATTATTTACCCATACCTTCTCTAATGTTTCTTTATTTCTCTTCAGCTTTCTGTTGCTTTCTTCAGTTAAATATTAGAATAAATTCTTTCTAAATACAGTTAATTCTTAAAATATGCTGCTTAGTATTATAAGAACTATTAAAGACATATTTTAGGATTTCAGATAATTGAAAATAATTATTATTTATTTGACAGAAATTTTATTGAAAATTAAATATATTTTTGATTTATTTTAACATGTTTAATTTTTATAGTGTACAAACAACACTTTCAAATTCATTTATATCTACCAAATCTATAAAATATTGATTCTAAACTATCAAAATAATGAGCATTGAATTCACTTTTAAAAGTGAAACATACTAAATGAGCTTTTAGCTTTTTGTTGTTAAGATTCCCTATTTTGAACTTTCTTAAAGCACTAGATATTAACATGTCTCTTAGTTGATTGGATAATGGAAATAGGTTTGATGATGGATTCTCTATGAGCTATATTTATGATTTTTACATTTTTATCCAAATTCATACTGTTTATTTTATACAAAAGTTTATTTTTCTTTTAGTAGTTGGATTTATGTAACATAAAGTTATGTTTAATTTATGTCTATTAATAAAATGTCTTATTCCTTTGAATATAAATATATAAAATAATGCTATTATTGATGTATTTTGTCTTGTAAATTGATTTTCATTATCCAATCGTTTCTCTTTTCTGATTGACTACATGTCAGTGCTGATGTGATAGTATACTTTGGTTTTATTATGAAAATACATCAACATCAATTCTAATAATGCAATGGGCCCGGATTTTTATGCAGTAAAAACCGACAAAATATGCAATAAAAAAATGTCAAAAATGCAGCAAAATCTTTACTGATAAAATCTCTAAATATGCAATAAAATGTCTTAAATATTCGATTACACTTATGCTGTAGTGTATCCAGTATTTAATTTTTTTGAGGGGGAGGGGCTTTTTATTTATTTTTTTTACTGCAATTAATTACCTTGGAAGAAAAGTAGTAGCAGGATGTATATTATAAATTTTAAAAAGTACATTTTGTGATTCTTTAGGTATTTAGCTTAGAACACCAACATAAACAAATGTGAAACAATGAATATATATATATACGTATATAGGGGGCTGGGGTAGCCGTACGGGCTAAGGTGCTTGCAATAGGTAATCAAAGTTAAGCAATGTTGAGCGTGGTTAGTACTTGGATGGGTTTACCAGGATGTTAATAGCCGGGGAGCGGGGTGACCGAATGGGCTGAAGCGTGTGCACAGCACCGCGAGTTGCCTGGCAACCGGAGAACAAAGATTTGAGATGATTAAAAAGTACGAGTTCGCGTCCCGTTGCCGGAGGGGATTTTAAATTCCCCGCCTTCACCCTCCGGCCCGGGAAAAAACTGTATAGCCTAAAAAGGCGAGATAGGGAAGAAAAAAAAAAAAAAAAAAAGGAGCCCCCCTGAGGTTCGGTCTATGGACGGTCTGTTTCGGGGAAAAAAATATAGGTCCTCGTGCGCCTGCTGACTCCGAGCAGCCATAATCCATGGATCTAGACCGATTTGTCACTGTACTTGAACCCGAGAGAGTCGGTGGGGAGGACACTGCCAGATTTGGCCCCAAAGGGATCGGCTATGGAGCTACGGTTGGCCTGCCACTGCACCATGGAAACCATGGTTCGTAGCAACGTGAGGTTAGGTGACCCCCTCCAGACTTTCTGAGCTCCCGCAAGTATCACACGTCTGTAAGGAGACCACATCTCGCCTCCAAAGATCTTCATGGTCTGTAGTGCCAATCGAAAAAAAAAATATATATATATTACCATTTTTGGGAGCCTCAACCTGAAAGACCCTGTCTCTTTCTCCCCTCCCCCTCCACAACATCTTGTAGATACCCCAGTGCCCTAATGTGTGTACAAAATTTTTTGAACAAAAAAAAAGTTAAAAGAGATGAAAACGTGATAATGAAAAAAATCATATATTCTGAGAAGTCAATAACTGAAGATAGCTTATTTTGTAATAGTTTATTGAAAATCAATCTAGAATTTCTTGGAACATTATGGAATTATAATGGGACATTATTTGTAATTATGATTATCGTTATTATTATTTTTTTATTTTAAATGATCAAAATATGCAGTTATATGCATTTATCATCCAACATGTAATATAAAATTTGACTAATTGCGTTTAAAAACTGCATGCAAACAAAATATGCAATTTCATAAAAATCCGGGCCTCGGTGATAATTTTCTGGTAAATTTATAATTGTACTTTTCAAATACTTGTATTATCCTGAGAATTAACATTTAAAAAGTATGTATACCCATTATAGGACAGCTATAAGAGGGCTATAAATATATTGAAAAGAAGGATGATTGGGGTATGATCAGTCAAAATAAAAATAAATAATTATATTTATTTAAAATATATATATAATAAAAAATATTTTTAAAAATAAATATAATTATTTATTTTAACTGATCACCCCAACCATCCTTCTCTTCAATTATTCACTACAGTCAACCATCAATCGAGGGCTATGAACATATATCATTTGTGACACAAGTAAAGCTCTAGTGTTCACAACAAATCTTAAATAATTGACTTTTTTGAATATACATACTAGTTGTTTAAATCTTTATAATTATGTATACTTATAAATAATCTATTATTTATTTGACACAGTGGAATACAGATTTTAGTGTTTTAGGTAACTCAAATATTCTTCAACTTTATTAGATATCCTTGTTCTGGTGATAAAACCAGAGCATCTAATTATTACGAAATTTTCTTTAGTATAGAATCTAAATAGGTCAAAGAACCTTAAATACTAGAGGTTTATAAATTCCACTGTATCTAAAACAATTTAGTCAAAATGCATAATCTATTAAAATATTCTTAATTTGGTTATTCATTGATATATTACATCTTAGAACAAACTATTGTAAAATTTCATCTTAAGTCACAATTTTAATTTCATCTTAAGTCACTAATTTCATCTATTTAATTTATATCGGCCCTTTTTCAAAGCAATTTTTATTTGGAATACCTTCAATCACTTTATAAGATTCACTTATTTTCATGATCCCAGATACAATTTCAGTGTTTGAAAAATTTAATGATTGCTTATAAACATATATATTATTATTATATTTATGAGTTATTAATTATAAATATTTGGACTTTATTGTACAAGCTTTAAATATATTCATTTATTTTCATGTAATAAAAATTTTAAATTAAATACTACTTTTTGTAACCATGCTCTTTTTTAAATTTAAAAATTGCAAGTTTCATTTAATTTGATTGTAGATTAACTTTCTTTGCTTAAATATACTGAGTGTTTCTGGATTAAATGGCTAAACTTGAAAGATGAATTAAGGACATCAAAACAAAAATCGCACTGAAAACCATTTTGGTAATGAAATTAATGGATTGCTTAAGGATTATCAATGTTATCAGATCAATTGAGGATCATGTAAAATATGACTATTTCATATATTGAAATTGCCTTATCTGTTAAATATGGCTTCGTCTGTACACAAAATATTTGCATGTTATATCGCCTGGCACTAAATGCTGGACATGTTAAAGATGGTATGGATGATGTCCATCTGCAGAAAGTGTCTTCCATGTGATTGTGAATGAATTTCGTAATTCATTACTTGATCTTTGGACACTTGTTGCTTCAGCATTGCAAAAACTCTAACAGTGAGGTATAACATATTAAATGAACCAGTTTCTCTCATTCGCTGAACTGTTAACGAAAATACTGATTTATTCAGCAATCTTCCATTGGAAATCAAGTGGCATATTTACAGTAAGCATCGTTAGAATTTCAATCACAAAACCCATAATATTAATTCTCTAACTGAATATGTATGAAGCATCATGATTTATTTAACAAAGGCACTCAACGAACTAACAACTTATACTTATGGAGATAATTGATGTTTTTGTTTATAAACAAAAGTATATTATTGATCTCCTAACAAAATAAGAGACCTTTCGACTTTTTTTTTTTTCTATAGTTCTGAAGTTGCTCTAGTGAATACATTTTTTTTTTTTATTTTGATGTCATGAATTCCGGAAGCTTGATCATTTAATCCTGGAACATCCTGTATAATAGATTGAAAAAAAAAATATGAAAATTAATCATCATTGAAATTAATATACAATTGAGGAACTGCAAATGTAAGGCAGTCAATCATTTTAAGAAGGGAGTGATCTATGATGTTAGTCTTTAAACAATCCTCAGCCAGTGTGAATATTCACAATTTTTTATGTAAATTCATTAGTCATTAAATATAATAAATCAGCTTATGAAATTTTTTTAAACTAGTGATTAATAGTTTGTTCATATAAGTTTTTTTTAGTATTTTGAGAACTATTATTTCTATACTTAATAAAATATCAATTTAAAGCTTAAGTTGTACATCTTTGGTTTTTTACCTATCAGTTCTTCTTGTATTCTTTACAAATTCTTGCTGTCAATATACTATTAAAGTAGATATTGATTTTTACTTAAAATAATTAACTTACTCTTAATCTTTTTAATTGTATTTTTTTCAGGTGCAGTATATTGAGCATTAATTTTAAAATGACGATTTTCATCTTAGAGCTTCCTCTTAATTTTAAATTTGTAGTTGTAAATAATGATTCATTCTATAACAAAAAGCAAAATTAGTTTTAATTCAATTTAAAAAACCTAATTGCTGCAAAATATTGATTATACTGGTACGTTATAAACATATTATTTTTTTTAGTCATGCAACTTAAAAAGGAAAATTTATTACTAAAAATAGCTTTTTTTTATGATATGATGAAAATAGTAATTTTCTATCATTTCCATCATGATAAATTATTTCTATATTATATATTTAAACAAAATACATATATATATGTACAGATGTATATTTAATATGTGTGCATTATTTATTATGGAATAAGTTATAAAATTATTTTAAAGTAAAAGTGTTATTATGTCTATACGACATTGAATATTTCTTTTCATTATATTGTTTTGTTTTGTTTTATAATTTTTTTTTCTCTCTTTCAATTAAAGACTGAAACTATGCCAGTAGTTATGGCTTAAGAGTTTTTAGAAATGTTTATGAAGTTTGTTAAAATATTTATGACAAATAAATATTGAGTTTTTATTTTTAGAAAATAAATTTATTGTATATATTTTATTATATTTATTAAATACTTGGATATTTTTAATTCATTATTTTTTTACCAACACCTTTTTCTGAATAAAATATGGAAATAGTTTGGTTTATGATTAATTTTATTATCTTTTTACAAACTTCTACAAGTTTGGAAATTGAACTTCTACTGTTGAAATATCCAATTCCTAAAACCATAAATTTTTCACGATGATACAATTTATTGAGAAGTAAGACTGTTTTTACTGTTCCATATTTTATATTTTATTTTAAGATGTAGTGAGTTTTTTGCATTTATCAAAATTGGGGTAAGAACACTTAATCTGTTCTTCAACTTTATTAATTAAAAAAAAAAGTTTCCCAAGTATATCATTATAGCTTCCTTATTGTTTTTATTGACTACTTAAAAAAATTCACTTCACTAAGATTAAAATTTTCTAGAAAACTGAATAGTATAATCCAATAAAAATGCATCTAATAAATCGTTTTAAGTTTAATAATTTATATAACTTTCCATTATCATATGTTGACTGCCTTATCACATCTCTTCTTCTTCTTATCACATCATCCTCCTTAGTGCCTCTCAGCGTGGAAGTGCTCCGATCCAAGACTGTCTAGCCTCCCGATTCCGAGCCATTGCCTTCCTTGAATTCATAGACTTCCCCTTCTTTTCACCAATCATGGGGATGTGGTCCATCCATAGCAATCTAGGTCTTCCTCGAGGATGGCATCCAGTAGGCCTGGCCTCAAAAAACTTCTTTGGATAACAGCTCTATTCTACATAGATGACCAAACCATCCTAACTGCCTCTTTTCAACTGTTTCCCCGAGAGCTGGCACTACCAGGTCTCCCTGTATCCTTTCATTCCTAACTCTGCCCCTCCTTGTTATGCCTTCTATTCTCCAGAGGTACTTTATTTCTGCAGCAGTAGCTCTACTCCAGTGCCTGCTCAGTGAGACCTAGCACTCACTTCCATAAATAAGGGTAGGTAAGTGTATGGACTTAAGGAGATACGTAATTTTACACTGTGCTGCATAGCTGGTAATATGTGCTGTTAGCTTTCTTAATCCTGTTTGAGAGCTCTTGGTTCATTTTCCCATTTCTGCTTAGCACTACTTCGAGATAAGTGTACTCCTGCGCTGTCTCCAAGATTTATCCTCCGCAGCGAACCAAAACTTCCTCCTCTTCAGGACTAATGTGCATCACCTTGCTCTTTCCATCATTTATTATCATGCCCTTTCCTTCTAGCTCTACCTCTCACTCAGTAACCGCCTGCTGTAGATTTTCTTTGAAATCGGCAATGAGGACAATATCATGTTTTTTTTAATTTAACGAATGATTCCCAATTTATGAAATGAGGAACCATCAACCATTTTTAATTAAGACACAAATATAAGACAAATTAAAAGCTTTACTGCTGTTTTTGTTTAATTAGGTTGTAAAACCAATAGTGATATTTTAAATGAAATATTATTATAAATATTTTAAATATATTACTTTGCAATGGATGTTTTAAACTTGTGATTTGTCCCCTTGATAGATATTTGGTATTTATAGGTTAAGTATTTTAATAATTTGTTACTCTAAATCAAAAAAATGTTTTTTCTTCATTATACAGTAATGAGTAATTTAGTGAGTATTGTGATAAATGAATACATACCAAATTATTCACTGGTGTGCCCTTTGACAGGGACAGCATCCTCAAACCCAAAACCTAGCTTGACAACATCTAGGAACATTGAGATGGTACTACACGAAACAACTATATGGCCTAAGTTTGCAATGATCTTGCTTTGATCTGCATTTTCGACATCCATCCTTGCTAGTGCAATTGCAACAGCTGCTGCTATTACCTAACAGTTATAATTTAAATATATTTATATGCATAAACTTTTTTTTTTGTATTTAGTGATTATTGAAAAACAAACAAAATTAATATTGATGGTAAAAAAACATCTACAATTCTACTGATCACTTATGAATCTTTGTGTTCTCTTAACACTCAGAACAGCCAGATTCAAATAGTAGAAGATTGCAACCTATTGGATATCTATGTGCTATTAGAGAAACCTAGGAATGGGAAACAATTTAAGCAAAGCACAAAGTAAATATAATGGATTTCTGTTAGCAGACTGCACTTCTCTATAACAGACAAATTTATAAATCCCATAAGGTATTCAATAATTTTATAGTATTAAGGACTTCCAAATAATCGATACTCTCTAAAATTTGGAATGCCTTGATGCAAGGATTTTGATTGGAAAGTTTCTCTATTACAGACAGCAAGAAACCAGTGAGGTTCATATTTTGAGAACTTTAATTTTATTCAAAGAACAAATAAAAGCCACTAAACTGTAATAGCGAGTAATTCTTATTTGGGAAATTCTGGAGAGTGATCTGCTGAATCCATGCCCCTAAATGGGTTGTAATGAAACAGATTTTTTTAATGATATACAGCTGTAATCACAGGCAGATCTACGGGAGGGAGCTTTCGGGCTGAAGGCCTCCCCAAAATGGTAAAATATAACCATGTTTTACTGAAAAAAATATTAAAAACTATCTCTTAAAGTATTCTTGTTCATTTAATTACATTTAATAGGACTTCAGGAACCACTTAAACACCATTTCATATAGGTAGTTAATTTCTTTCTTTCTTTTTTTCAAATTATTTTTATGAAGATTTATGAAAAAAAAATCTTTCAGGCTTAAGCCTCCCCCAAAATTAAATCCTGGATCCGCTAGTGGCTGTAATTATGTGATGATTGCAATACTGTAAAACTTCATTTAAAAAGACTGATAGTAAGGGTGAGTAGCCATATATATTCAAACAACATTGTTGATAGAATGAATATTTTATTACCAATGTGTACATTTTTTAAGGGCCATGAAAAGAAAAAATATATTTTTAAAGATAAACAAGTCTTTCTTATCTTTTATATCTTCTTCTATAATGAACTACCTAGCTCTGTCTTCTTAACCGTGTGTTTTTTTTTTTTTAAACTTTACACTAATAAGTATACACATAGTAGCAATATAGTTTTAAAGTGTCATGGAGGATAATATTGTTAAAGTTTTGTTCAGTTTCAAATGAATAAAAATAGTCTAATGAATAAGTTATTGTTTGTAGGAAAACTATTTTTAATACAGATTTATTTCATTCATATAATGAAATTAATTTATGAAAAAAAAAAATCAATATTTGATAAGTATTTCTGTAATAATTTAAAGCAAATATATAACCAAAATACATTCTAATGCCAAAATAATATTTTACAAAAGAATAAAAACAATGCTTCTTCAAAATTGAGGAATGTTCAAAATTTAACTAATAGATATTCAATTTTAAGTATATAATCTAATTAAAATTATACTCCAATTAAAAAATAATTTGTTAATGAGCTATGGCAGAATGAACTGTGTGTTGTTTTTTTTATGCTGCTAGTGTGGTTAATCTAATAGTAAATATAAAACCGTGATTTTACAGAAGAATGAATTCAATTTAGCATAGCATTCAATCTGTCAATACTATTTATTAATGTAATAGTATTTCGTGCTGGTCAACTAAAGTTATAAATCAATATCTGATGGCATTGACTGATAACTTATATTGATCTAGTTTTGTTTAGTATTCAACCTTTTGAAGGCTGGTAGGAATAAAAATATGTCACATTATGAAAGGGAAGAAATCAATAGTTTCTTATAAAAGAATAGCTTTCTTTTTATAGTTTTTGGTCTACATTTTTAAGGCATAACTTTTTTAAATCTTGAAGTTATCATTGATAGATTTATCCTTGGCAATAACAGTTTACATTCTAAAAATGAAGGCACAACATAGTTATTTTAGGTTCAAAGATATGAAGATTATTTTAAACATTTTTTATTTAACATTAATTAAAATATTAAACAAAAAAGCAAAACCTGAAAACATTAAAAAACTAAGGAAGAAAACATTCATTTATCTTTTAATATAAAAATATTTTATAGTTTTCTTTTTCTCTTGATATATAAATTAAATTACGTAGTAAAAAGAAATTGAAAATATCTGTTAATAACAACAATTTACAATAAAATTTTTATTTTTAGAAATTTATTGTATTTTAAGTTTTAAATAATATCCTTTATTGATAAAACTGTTGAGACAAAAAGAATGTTGAATTTTTCCTAAACATGCATTTAAGACTTTCATTATAATTTCATATACTTTGCCAATTAAATTTTCCTTAAATTGTAAAGTATGTGAAACTCTAAAATCAATTTGTAATATAAATATTTCTACCAACTTTATTTAAAATTGAAATACAAAAGATAAAAAACAGATTGTATTGAGAAAGGATTTCCATTCTTTTAACTTAATAACAATATCCATAAAATATTTAAAATGGGTCTGATAATTCTGTTACATATCATTCTACAACGGTTCTGTCAGCTTTTGAGTAATTAATCCTAAAATAAAAATTCCAATCTTTTTGTCTCTCACAATTTAATATTACACACTAAGTAATACCATATAAGGCCACTTTTTTTTTTATCTCGTACTGATTTTTAAAAACTATTATTTCCATCATTTACGGGGTGTAGTCATAATGTCTGAAATAATTGCTCTAAAGTCATAAGAATACACATATATATATAATATTATAATATTGATGACATAATTTTCTTATTAATTCTGACCTGGTAGTTTCTTATCAATGTTCTTATACTTTTAAAGAGATAATGACAATTTTTATTGTATATATATTTATAATGTTATACAGTTTTAGTGGTATCTAAAGTCACAAATATAAGTACATATGTACTTGACATAGATTTCATTAGATTAACAGTTACAGAAGGAAAAGATAAGACAATTGTGCATATGAATTTTACAGAAATTTTATCTTCAAAGACATTGATAATACAAACCTTTTAGTGTACATTGGGGTTTTGTTAAAGATAATGACAATCAGTAAATATTTATATTATTTTTTTACTGTTTTATAGATAATTAATCATTTTTATTAATACATCAACATAACTATAAACCATGACTAATAAAACCTTATTTCATTGCAACAACAAAGCAGTGGACAGTATTATTGAATATTCTGCAACAAGGCATTCTCATTTTCTAGATTTTTTTTTTATCATTTTCCCAATTTTTAATATCTGTCCAAGCTGGAAACCCAATGTAAAGAGGTTGAGTATAATTTTGAAGGGAATGCTACTCTAGTACAGATAACAAATTTAAAAAAACAATTTTACCATAATTAATTCTTAAGAAAGCTTTATTTATAACTCCATTGAATGGAATACAAATGCTTATGCTTGATTTCATTTTCAAAAAGACCATTAAAACACAGTCCTTTGGACATGATAATTTATTTTTAACAGATAAATGAAAATATCAAAGAGCGAGTTCTCGACTATAAAGTCACAGAGCTAGAGTATTATATACCACAAAATCTTGAAGTACTATCAATGAAAAAATAGAAAAATAAGTCTGGCATGTATTTTTGTAATGAATAAAAATGATATAGATACATTTAACATGTTCTTGCTACGATCTTTCATTTTTAAAGAACAGAAATTGCTATCTCCTCCATCAAGCTACTCTTTCCTATTTTTCTCTCGATTCTGTTAGTTTTATAATTATTATAACATAATCAGATCTATGTTATATATGTCAGTCATGATCGTTTACAATTAAAACAATTCTCTGTATATGTTCTTGGCATTAAATTTCCAGTAATGTTACACTTATTGTTAAAATACAAATACATCATGTTTGAAACCTCACTGGAATATTTTAAGAGATAAATTCTTTGCCGTTTGAAAATGGATTTTTTCATTACAATAATTTGCTAAGCTGTTTGCGGTCTAACTATTTCTAATGGTTGACTAGAATGTTCCATTCCAAAACCAGAAATTACAACATTTACTACAGATATTACAAAAACTAAAACTAGTATAATATCATTAATAATATTTGCAGGCAGATGATCTCCTGGAATGTTGATGTCCAGTCCACCAATTATAAGAAACAGGATACCCACGCACATCTTAAAACCAAATCACTGAAATCACTCACTTTATACTTTTAAGAACTTAGACAAATAAAATATTATTATTCAAGAGGTCTTGTATGTACTTAATGGCCATTACAAGCCACAGGAAAGCTATAATTAAAAAATGTGTTTTGAAAATAATGTGATAGTTTAGGATTGTTTATTTTATTATTTTTAAAATAAATGTTTATTTATTTTATTTTGATAACAGAAAAACAAATTGTTATAAATAAGTACACAGAACCACCCTCAATAATTTTTAAAACCAGTAGCGGATCCAGAATTTAATTTCTGTTTTGTTTTTAATAGTCTTAATCACTGTGGGAGAAAAAAGAAAAGAACTATCTATATGAAATGATAATTTGGTTTGGTATGGTTGAAATGATTTGCTTTTAAATGTACTTTAAAGGCAAAAAAAAAAACCTGTCACAGGAACAATAATGCTTTTAAGGATAAATTTCTTCTGTTATTTCTTGGCACATGTTTATATTTAATAGCTAAAAGATAATATATTGTGATTATTCTCTTATAAAAATGTTTACTCTGGAAAGCCCCTTCTCCCAAAGATTCGCCAGTTTTCATAAATACAATAAATTTTAAACAAGATTAATTTGAAAGATTATATTATAATGATTATATTGGTCCGTGTTTATGATATTCTATGATTATATCTTACCAGTACGGTATCTTAGAGAAAGATTATTTTTTAAACAATACATAATGTACCATGGGTAAATCAAGTTGAATTTAAATACTTACTGGACTAGCTCCCCCCCCCCAATAATACTAGGACCAGTGCCCCTTCCTCAGTACTTCCCTCATGACAAGGGAGCTCCATTTCAATTACTAGCCAAGGGCCATTAAAAAAGTCCCCTGTTCTAGCACACTAGCTTTGGCAAATGATTGAAATGGGGCTCCCTTGTTATGAGGGAGGTACTGGTACTAGCCATAGTGGGGACGACTAAGAGTCCCTAGAAACTGCAAGGGAATTTGTGTTTGAGATCAATGTCCAGATGACAATGTATATGCAGACTTCAAATGGGTGAGTACAAAATACAATGTTGTCCAGAATTTAGGTAGCTTGATAACAACTGGTAATTTGACAGAAGTCGATATAAAAGCCGAAATCGCTGCATATGGGGTTTGCAGAAGGCCCTTAGGATAAAGAACTTCTTAAGAAAGAAAAAGATCTTAATCTATAAGACAATAGTAAGACCGGTTGTCACCTGTGGAAGCGAATCATGGACCTTAACAGCAAAAAATGAGAGTTTCAAAAGTCTGGGAAAGAAAAGTTCTTCGCTGGATATTTGGTGCAGTGGAAGCGGGAGATGCCTGGTGAATTAGAGCAAATAAGGAGCTGCGGGAGTTGTTTGGAGAAGGAGACATCGTCTCTTATATCCAGCTGGTCCGATTAAGGAGGAAGGGACATATGGAAAGAATGGACTCGGGTAAAATTCCTAAATTTTGGCTCTACAAGAAGCCACCATGTACGGCTCGAGGTGAGGCCTCGACGAGTTTTGTCACAGAAAAATAACAAGCATTTTCCGCCTTTAGCCTAACCTTAATTTCCTTTAGAATTTCATTTTTTTCTAGTTATCATAGACCCAAAATACCTAAAGTACTCAACGTGTTCGAATATATTCCAGTTTATGTCGATGTCAGCGAAATCGTCTTCGTTTTTACAGACAGCTTACCATATATTTTGTCTTATCAGTATTTATTTCTAGCCCAACTTCTTCAGTGGCTTTCATTAACGTTGTATTTAGTTTTATAGTTTCCGTGTCTTCCCTAAACAGAACCGAATCATCAGCATAACCCTGCTGCACGGGTAGTGCTCCACCCAGATTCAAACCTTTTTCAGTACGCATTACCTCCCTAATGACATGTTCCAATACTAAATTAAACAGGACAGGTAAAAGAGAATCACCTTGTTTTAAACCCGAATGAACCTCGAACTTTTCGGATAAATAATTACTGATTCTCACTTTATCGAATGTTTCCGTCAAGTACATCCGAACTACATGTTCCAATTTTTTTTTATCCCCTGTCCAAGCAGAATATTATACAGCTTCTGGCAGTCAATTGAACCGTAAGCCTTTTTGAAATCGATAAATAGCTGGTGAAAAATACCGTTAAACTATAATTTGTCTCTAACATTTGCCTACTAAGCAATCTTTATCAAACCACAGTTTGTTCATTTTATTTTCCTTTTTCTCAAGACAAGAGTAACCGACCTCTTTAATATTATACCTGATCTGTACCCATAACTTGTCTGTACCATCGCAATCCTCATCAAAAGATTTTAATGTTTCAAATCTATTTCTAACTTCTAGCTCGAATTGATTTCTTATTGATAGATTTTTTAAATTAAAATTTTCTTGATTAAAATTTTCGAAAACGAAACTATTTTCTTTTCTATTTAGTTTTTTTTTTTCGAAGTTTAGCGATTGCTAATTCATGACCTGACCAACATTCTGCTTCGCGATATGACCGTTATAAATTATACTACTTTTTCACCAATTTTGTATCAAGACATGATCGATTTGATTTCGAGTTAACGTATCCGGTGATGTCCAAATATATTCATGAATACCTATATGTTTAAACGTAGTACTTTTAATTATCAAGGTTTTCGAGATGCAAACAATCAGCCGGATTCCATTATCATTACTAAACTCGTGCAAACTTTCTTTAACCGATAATCAGAAAATAAACTTCTTCCCTTCCCACCTTTGCGTTCGCGTCACCTACAATTATTCTCATGCAGTTTTCCGGTAGTTTATCATAAACCCATCCGGTTTTATCATAAAATTCGCATTTGATTTCGTCATCACTGTCTCCGGTTGGACAATGAATGTATGTTTATTGAAATATTGTTTGTATGGGTAATGATCATATTTGAAAACATGTTACCAAAGCAATAGAATATATTACATATTTTTATTTTTATTTAAAGATTTGATGCAGTGAGATGAACTCTCAATTCTTCTAATGCTTCAAAATCACCGGGGGAATTGTTATAAAATCTTGACCTAAAAATGGAAGCATCCACATCAATAAATCATAAAACCCTAGGATATGTTGCTAATTAACTTTTAATATTAACTAAAATTTCAATAATAGGAGCATAGGTCGTGGTAAAATACTTGCGTAACTACTTCTGGGCCTTAGCTTAGCTATCTAGTCTAATTTTCCTATTTTCTTAATTGATTATTTTATTGTTGGAACATTTAAAATAATCATAAATCTAGTGGAGGTCTTCGAAAGTATTTTACTACGAGGAAATGTAACATTCTTTATTTATACAAATATACAAAATGATTACAAAGCATTGGGTGTTTTGTTAGACTACTGCACTATCATATAAACTTATTATAAAAACCTAATCTCTCTCACTCTAATCAAAATAGCAGTCTTCAGTATCGAAACAAGATGGAAAAATAATATTGTACCTTAAGAAAATTGATATACATGTAACAATAATATTATAAAACAATATGAAAATATCCACGAACACAAAAGGAGTACATTTTCTGAATTTGCTTTGAACTGAAAATTGACTAGAATTTGGATTTTATTGGAGATCTGTGTCAACCGGTACAAAACGAGCAAGATTTGAGTCAAAAGCAGAAATGAGGAGGTTGAGACAAGTTACAGCGAACGCCCCAGCAACTGCTAAATTATTTATTATCAAAGCTGAAGTCTTGTACTCGATGAGGTGCAGGCGGCAGTCCCTCATGAGGTTCAATGAAAGAAAGAGAACACCCATCCCGACCTGAAATAACAACTAAATTTACATTTTATCCTGGGGTCCTTAAAGTTTCCAAATAAAACTACACATCGTAGACTACACATAATATATAACTTTATGCTGAGAAGATTTTAAATCGAATCCAGCTACTAGATTAGTATTTAAAATACATAAATAAATAGTGAGTACGTAGTCTTAACTTTGATCCAACTGTAGTATATATAATTAAATCAATTATGATATTATGTATACATTAAACAGCATTGTTATCAATGACTATGACGATTTATAAATGTCAACCAATCAGCAAAATGTGAAAATTACGATGTCACTGCTGCGCTTGAACTCGCGGAGCATATATGTTCATTGATATAATAGTCATTAAATAATAATAATTGAATATTTTTCATTTCCTAAGAGCTCTTATGACAAAATTACGCCTCTTCAAATAAATCTAGAAATGGTACCGAATCCTGTGATAAATGACAGGATGGACCAATCCAGATACTGCAGTTTCAAAGATTGAAGGATTATCAAAAATTAATTAAATGAAATATTGTGAAAAAAAACTGTGAAGTAATTTTCTTCACTTCATAACACTACGTTTTAAAAATTAAATCACCAAGACTAATCCAGTTAACTTCATAGATTCTTTATCAGAGGCGATTTCTGAAGTTGTCATCAGCACGAAGAAAGGAATAGCATAATTTTCTTCTCTATTCTATCTTTCAACTAGAACGAAGTTAAAAAAATTATATATAACCACATCTTATGAATACTGATGTGGCGGGAGTTGGATCAATATTTGCTGACAAAAGGCTTTGCAGTTTGAGTAAAGTGTCGCACTCAATAGTTGTGTTAACATTGTCTTGTGAGAATATAATGTATCTTTTAATTAAAACGAATTTACACAAAAATCATCGAATTGTGGATATTCTAATTGAAATATATTGATATCAGATACACTGAATATATAAAGAGAGAACACACATTGTAACATGGACACATCATAGCATAGAATAGACAGGCAACACGGCCGCTGAAAGCAGAAGTTGGTACCCAAACGCATTGCAACACATAGATATATTTACACAACTTGAGGCTGGGATGGTTGATGATCTGGCTTCAGTTGAAGATCAAGGTCTAGCTGAATCTAAGCATAACTATGTAATGTTTTCTGGACTTCTCCAAATAGTCAATTTTCCTTATTGTTGATATAACATTGAATCTGGACTCTCTCCCCCACTGGAAGAGTTCTTGTTGGAGGGGCAATCAAAACAGGACTACTAGCAGCAACCATTCTGTTTTGTGTGGGAAACTTCATTCCCGACTCCACAAGTTGACTATTTATAATTTGATAGTTCATTCGATCTAATCTGAGCTTGCATTTGCTGTTGATTCATAGGTTTTGTAAGCTGGTTTTTGTGTTAAACCTTTGTTTTCAGTATTTAGTGAATTAGTATCTTCTTGACTTTTCTCATCTGATACATTATTTAAACTTGTTCGAAGGAGATTTATGTCAATGTTGTTCTGCTGAAGTTCAGTATCAAGTCCTCGTGGCTTGAATGGTTCGTGGCCAGCTGGGACAATGTGTAATTCACCAAGACATTTTCCTCTAGCTTGAATGATGTTACCTGAATATGACCGGAAGGCAATGTGAGAAGCTTCAAGAAGAGTATGTAATTTAAGACGTTTGAAATTAGACTCCGACAATAGGAAGTACTTGGCACCTGAATCAACGATGAACTGCTGCAATTTTCCATTGATATGGATAGCAATGAGGTATTTGTGACTATCAACTATTTCGAGTTAAACAACAATTATCAAGAGTTTGTTAAGACCGTAAGTGCATCAGGAAACATGGATAACACATGGAGAGTATTGAGTTGAACTGGACGCAGTCTTTTTTCTTGATGCTCACATGAGAGTTGAAATACACACTTTTGCACAATGTCCCAATTTACAACATGATCTACATTTGATTTTGGACTTATTATTCCGGCACTCTTTAACTTTATGATTAGTTCTTCCACATCTAATACGAACATTGTCAATACCTAGTGATCGATAGTTAGGCTTTTAATTCTGTTTTGACTGAAAGATTTTGAGTTTAAATGATTCATAGAATTATATATTTAGAAATATGATGTGCAGATCTTTCCATCTTATTTATACATCAGAAATTAAAATTGTAATTCCAAGAGCTTTGACGTTGACTGAGGTCTTAACTTTCTATTTTTGACGCTTTGAGAGCTGTGGATCTTTCTAGAATTCCATTAAATGTAGTGGCATTAGATTTTAATATCTGTTCCTTAACCAGTTCCCAGTTCCCACGCAAAACTCGAATTGGGCTCTTAAAAAAACATCAGAAATCGAAACAATATGATTGCATTCATCGGTTGTACAATTAACAGAGCTTACATTCAGCTAAGTCTTGCTGAAGGGTAGCGACTAACTCGGAAATACTTTTCTTTTTGAAAATCATTTTAAAAGTAGTGTTGAGCCACAATATTTACAGAAGAGTGTAGTCGAGTAGAAAGTGTTGGCGATCGCTCTGTCGCTCTTTTCTAACGCACATTTTCGGATATTCTTGCCCTCTTATATCTTCGAAAATGTCTTTGTGGCCACGAGCTTACTTTTGTTCCAAATTTCCTTTGCAATTTTCGGATTAGAAACTGAATTTAAAAAGGATTATTTAAAACCATTTTTAGCATAAAGGTTTTTCGGTGTACTAGAACAAAATATCGTTCTATTCAAAATATTGCTATCGTCTTTTATTTAGAAAATCTATAAGGCTAGTTTGCTTAATAATTAAAAATTTAATTATTTAAAAAAAATTATTTTAATTTATCTGGTCAATAAGCATTTTTTTTTTAAACGTTTTTATAATTCCTTTTATAATTCATTTAATTTATATCTATACGTCATTTTATATGTTGGATCCGGCAAAATGTTTTAGCTAAATCTAAACTAATTTTAAGTTCGAGTAGTTTGTCAAAATGTGTAACTTTCTTGATAAAAATTGCCACTTCTGGTTAGTCGATTTTAGCGAAAAAATGGTGTAATATCCTAGGTACATGTACATACCTTAAATACTAAAGCTTTGTGGGTTTCTCTATAATATAATTACCAGTCATCTAATTGTTAAATTTATGCTTTGTTCACAGGCCATTGCTTTGTACAACTGCATATTTCAATTATTTATTTAATTAATAATAATACAGATCATTTTGCGATACTTCATTATTTAATTTTTGAATTTGCGACTTTAAGGTACAAGATGTGACAAATTCAGAACAAATAATTAAAAATATGATAGTAAACAGCCTTCATATGTGAAGGGGGTGAATACATAAAATGAGTAGAGGAAATGAACCTATATTATTATGATAATAAGAAATATCTTTACTAAGAAGATAGGTAGGTAAAAAAAAACCAATTTCAAAACCCTGCTGACATTTGTCTTTCTGCTAATAACTAGGATTCATTATTGATTACAGTCTCTATATTCAGTGTTGAATACAGAAAACAAGTGATAACAAAGTCTGTTATTATTTCTCCAGAATCCTTCAAAAGCAAAAAAAAAAATAATAATAAAAAAGCTTTGAAACAAATAAGGTAAATTGCAGCTATTTAAAAATGAGCTTGGATGTAAAGTAATTGGGTAAGTAATATGTTAACATTACTTTGACATTATTAGGTAAGAAATAGAATATCATAAGTGATTCTGACATCTAGGACCTTTGTTGGCAAGATGTCAGATGTACTGATGCAGGAAGGGGAGGTCAGACCATTTAACTATGTCAAGGCTGCCAGTGCCCTTGAGTCTCCTGACATAGTTGGATGAAAGACCTGATGAAGACTAAACTAAAGACCTACAGCATTAGTCATAAATATTACACCAACATAATCTATGATTATTGACTGCATCCCCTGACTAATCATTACTTAAATTAGAATTACGGGCAATCATTTCCATAACATAGAGAATAAAATACAATGCTTCCCTACCTTTGGTAGTGAGGAAGCAAAAATGGTACAAAATATAATATTATCTGCGTGTCATGAAAAAATCTTGTAAAAACAAAACAAAATGGTGGAAATTAAGAGGTTTAATATCCTGGTAGTTCATGATGGAAACCTTGATCAATGTTTAATTTAAAAAGATATTTACTGCAAATCGGTGATGGAGAGGAGAGTGAAAGAGCTATATAATTAATTAATATTTGCTAAAGTGTGTAACCAAAATAATTTCATTCAATTATCAATAAACAAATACAATACCACTACAGCGCATGATGAATGACTACAAACAGGATATTAATGGAAGAAAAAAAAATTAAATTGTGGGTTTTTTTAATTCAGAAAGGAGAGATTGCGTTTATAAAAGTAATTGGGAGTAAAACCATTCAATTAAAAATATGATTGTATAAATATATCTTTTAATTAATAATTATGTATAGTTAACAGGACTAGCAATATTCACGGTTGGATGCTGATAACCTGGAATCTATAAATCAATCTTGATTCAAATATTTTGCTACACACCTTACTACTATTGGTTCAGATCACCTGTGGCATTGGTTGTCATGGTATTACCAATCAAAACACAAAAAAACAAATCAATCCTCATTATTAAAGAACTCCTCAAATTCAAATAAACTATTAGATCAACATGAATGCAGTTTAGATCCATGAATAAAAAAATGAGTAGTGTCAAAGATGAAATTGCAAAAATAAAATCTAAAAACAAACTCTAAAGGTTTGAATGATTATTTGTACCTGTAGAATAATTGAAGTTGTAATGAGACCAAGCATTAATGAATAAAATTCATGTTTGTCCCCAATCTGAAGTATATATTTGAGCTGCGATGCATTTGCAGTAAGAAGGGCAATATCCAACATTCCCTGAGCAATTGTCTTTTTTGTAGCATATCTGTTTGCGTCAAGAGGCTTTCTTGGTTGAAGCTAGAATAAAAATTTAATTATTTAATCACTCATCCACAGAAAACCAACTAATTAATTAATATGAATTCAGTTAAATTAAAATATATATCAAAATTATAATATTTACAACAAATGACATGGCAGAAATCCTCTTAATAATTACTAGCTATACATTTTATAAATTACTTTATAAATTTTATGTAGGCAACAGCTTTGTTTAATAACAGTTTTATTAAATAATAAAATATTTTTAAATGTCAGATAATTTAAAAAAAAAATTTTGAATCATGACATTCGATGTAAAATTTAAAAAAAAGGTAAAATAAACTTTTAATAATATAAACATTATCAAAATATTTTGTTTTACAAATCATACTACAAATTAAAAATGTTTTCCTATCATTAAACTTAAGTTATAAAAAAACCTACAGCTGTAGTAATCTCAGGAGCTATTGCTGAATTAGTGATCATGATGGATCAAGAGGCAAAAGTATACTGGTCTTATCATTGTATGTTAATCAATAACTCGCTGTTGTCCTTTGACAACAGGAGTACAACTTTCCCTAGCAACCAGTTAGTTACTATATTACAAATTCTCTTAAATAGATTTTTCGTTCTTGGAACAAAACATCTTTAAATCCTTTCGATTCATTTTATAAAATAATAATATATGAAATCGACATAGATATGAACAAAAAATTAGAAAGTATATCAGTTTTACCAACAATATATAAAAGGTAAAATTTTATAAATTGTATCAAATAAAAGCTAATTCGCCCATTTAAAAAAAAAGAAGTTTTAAATTATTTACAAAAAATATGTCATGATTGTTTGTAAAATATGACTTACTTTCATAATACTCGTACAACTTTTACATAAAATGAAAACATCAAAGTACATTTCATAGATCTATATAATCAAATTAGAAGCAAAATTATGACTATTGAGAAATTAAAAAAAAAAAAAAAACTCAAAGCTAATTCAATTTTATTTAACATATATATTTCTTTCTTTTCATGCTACAAATGAATGTTTGTTATATAGAAAAGTAAAATAATGATTTTAAAAATTTGTATTCACTTATTTGTTCCTTACAATGGATAAAAAGTATTTAATGTTTTTGAAGAAAATACTTGTTCATAATTTTTAATTTTGACAAAATAAAAAATCATTTTCAACTTTTGTCAGACTATGCCCATGACTATGACCTTTTTAGAGTCGAAAAACCTTTTTTTATTTTAAATACTTTAATTAGTTTCAAAACATTGAACTCGAAATTTTAAATAAAGAAAATTAATCATAGTTCCAATCCTATAAAATTAATTTATTATTTATCTTATATGATATTATTAATCTATACTAAACAGATACAAGTATCTACACAAATGTGCTTTATCAGTATTAGTGGAGGAAGTCCAATTTTAAACAATTGTCATTTTCATCCAGGATTATTTTATTTCATGATTATTCCATAGTCACATCATTATCTTCTCGATATAAAATACATTAATTTATTGCTTCCTTGTTACCAAAGGTAGTGAAGTTTTGTATTGGTGCTTAAACAATTTTTTGTACTCAATAGTGAAAATTTGTTTTACGTTCCAAACATTAAGGATCAAAGGTGTCATCCTGTCTGTTTTTTGTGTGTTTTTTTCCCCCTTGTTCTCCCCTTCCTTGCCATTTGGGCTATATGAGGTTTTCCTAGCCAGGGGACGGGGTTGGGGGATTAATGCCAGAGTAAAAGCCTCCATCGGCTCCGACATGCAGACTCCTATTTGATTTATCATCCGTATAGTCTAGTCAATGCTCGAATGCTTGAAAAGGGAGTACAGAAGGAAATGGGAGGGACACAATTTTTTAGTTTGGGACATTGTTTGGACTAGTAAGGAGGTATACTAAAAGTCCCTACTCCTTGGTGGTGAGCCAGATGTGGGGAGGGGAAGGAGGCGCTAGAAGTTCACTTTTTTCAGGTTTTCGCTTATATAAGTATTTATTATATAGTACATATTCTTGGCTTATAATAAATTTGCCATCTACCTCGGTATTCATCAAATATTCAAGGAGAAGAAATAATAGCATAAAGAAAAAAAAAGAATAGTAATAACAAAATAAGAAGACAAAAAAAAAAAAAACAGTTGTAAGATAACACATAATAACACACAAACAAAAAAAAAGATAATGCAGCAAGTAGCTCAATGCAATAAGTCTCTTGGCCAGCGCCTCAGCAGTCTTCTGGGCGGATTATATGGATTTGTGGCAGTAGATGGAGCTTGAGTAAGTAGATTGGAATTTAGAGTCAGTCTGTCATGAAAATTATTAAAGCAGTCAGTGGCAGTTGCCGTGATGAAAGGAATGTTAAGGTCAGTGTGTAACGTGAGGTTTGAAACGTAAAAGGGTGCGTCTACAATTTTCCAAAGGACTTTTGACTGGAGTGACTGGATGATTTTTATACTTGATTTTTTAGCTGTTCCCCATAGTTCGATCGCATATGTCCAAAGTGGTTTAATGAGGACTTTGTAAATAGTTAGTTTATTAATCACAGATAAGTAAAACTGTCCATGTATATAGCATTTCCAAGTCAATTTCAACCTTTTCCAAATCAAATTCAACCTTTTCCAAGTCAAATTAAACCTTTTCCATTTTAAATTCAACTTTCAATTTTTGTAAATTTTCGAAAGAAAGGTCACTAACTATATTATCGAAGGTATAGCTTTAGAAAAAAAAAATGTGATAACGCGGTTTCATATTCGTTTACTTTTACTTTTTAGATTTTTTCAGTATTATATTTCCATGTCATATTAAGGTTTTTCCAAGTCAAATTCAACCTTTTTCAAATCAAATTAAACCTTTTCCAATTCGAATTCAACCTTTTCAATTTTAAATTGAACCTTTTCCATTTCAAATTAAAGTTTCGATTTTTCGTAAATTTTGATTTTTTACTTTCACTTACCTAAATATGTAATATATAGTAAGTGTAAGTATTGCGATCGTGATAATGATCATGGACCTTCGGATTCGATAAGCCTTATTATTACTTTCACTTACGTATATATGTAATATATAGTAAGTGTAAGTATTGCGATCGAGAAAATTTTTGAATCTGAGTTTTCAACGGAAATAGAAGTTTTGAGGTATCCTGAGTCGAAATGACCAAGTCCCGAAAAATGATCTGTGTGTCTGTGTATTTGTATGTTAGCAGTCTAGCTCAAAAACGAAAAGTCCTACGAAACTGATATTACGTATTTAAGATAGGTATATGCCTTAGATGTGACGGCAACTTTTTCCTTAAAATCGGCTAACCGGAAGTGCCACTTTATATCAACGCTGAAACACCTTTTCACAATTTTCTCAAAAACGGCTCTAACAATTTTGATTAAACTCGGTGTATCATTGTATAATTAAGTGGTCTTTAATATCAATTAGGTCTTATCCCCATTGATGTCACTTTACAGGGCTTAAATGCCCAATGTTCATATATTTTTTTTTTTTTAAGTTTATGGAATTTCCTAAAAAAATCGTTAAGATCGGACAACTAGGAGGAAAGATATGGTCTCTAGTTTGTTTCCCTGAAGAGGCGAAAATTTGGATAAATTTAAAATATACTATTTTAATTGTTGAGACTGAAAACAACTTTTTTTCTACAGATATTTAATAAAGTATCTTTCCTAAGAACATTTTTCATAAGAAATAAGTACCTAAATTTATACCTTTATTTTCTGTTCTATATCTCAACATTGCAATCATCTCCTCCGGAATCAACTTACTCATATTCTGCATAGATAACTTTTTCAACTAAAAATATCACTAAAATGACTTCACTTAAAAATATTGAAATTGGAGTTAGTCATTCTGAAGTTTATAAAAGCAAAGAAAGTTGTGTGATTTATAAAAGCAGATGGAGTGACTAGATTTTTATTGCCTGTTGTCGATATATTAAATAGACATTTTGTAATTATAATGGTCTTAATGAATTGTTATCTGTAAGCTTTAAGCTTTAGCTCCGTTTAAAATGCACTTCAAAAAAATTTATTATAGTCCAGCATTGCCAGAAAATAATTTCTATTCATAGTAGATCGGTAAGTGAAAGTTGTGTGTTGCGCGCACCAGATTTTTATTATTATTATTATTAGTTTTAATATAAAGAGAACAAAATTCTACAGTACTAGCATGTCGACCACCAGTACTATCAACAATCATTATCTACATATGAAATTTAAAAATGAATAATTAAGTTCTGAATATCACACCAGTTGTTCATTCTAGTGTATTGCACATCATACTAGAAGTTTTCCCAGAGGTGTTTGTGTATATGAATGCGTGAGAACAGTTTAGCTCAAAAATGAAAAGTCGTAAGAAACTGATGTTACCTATTTAAGAGAGATATATGCATGAGATGTTGCAGTAACGTTTTCCTGGAAATTGGCTAACCGGAAATGGACACTTTATATAAACGCTGAAACACATTTTTACAATTTTCTCAAAAACGAATCTAACGATTTTGATTAAACTCGGTGTATTATAGTATAATTAAGTGGTCTTATAATTAATAAAGTGTCTTCCTCTAAAGTACATATGGTGTATTTTAAATAATCAACTATCTCTCACAATTAAAAGTTACGAAAAAATGCTAAATATCACTTTTGAAAGAATTTGATAATTGAATAAAAGAGAAAAAAATAAAAATGCTTATATAGGTCGAAAATGAATCTCCGGAAATATAAGTCAGAAGGTATATTCTATTATATATTAGGTATATTCTAAGGTATACTTATAATATATCGTTGGAAAGCGGAGAATTTTAGAAAAAAAAACATATCTAATATAGAAAGTTGTAGAAGGTAACGGAGAGTGCCGAAAAAATTATAAATAATAATTTTTGAAAACTTATGATATTTAACGTAAATCACATGTTTTCAATGTTGATGGAGAAGTCAAAGCCATTTCGGCTGCATTGATTGAAATAGATAAAGAACTCACCTATTCTCAAGTTGTGATCTTAGTTAATTCACAAGCAACCATACTGTCGACCTGCAATGGCCTGGACCATCCTGATGTCACTCGTGCCAGAAATCGGATTAATAACTTAATTAAAAAAGGAATCCGAGTGCCTTTCCAATGGGTTCCAAGCCATTGCGGGCTACCAGGAAACGAAAAAGCTGATGAGCTCGCATGGGTCGCCTCGGAAATGCCACAAACTAATCCTCCGCTGCCCTACGAATCTGTTAAAAGGATTTTAAAATCATTTTACAAGGAAGAGAACAAGAGTTGGCAAAAGCGACAGGCAGCGGGGAAAAATGGGAATGTCTTACAGAGGAACGGATGAAACAAACCAAAAATAGGAAAGAATCGGTGGTAAATTTCCGCATGGCAACAGGGCACGATTACCTGCAAAGGCGTTCACATAGGATTGGAGTGATGGAAGGTCCTGTGTGCCCTCTTTGCCAACAGGACGAGATGTACGACCTACACCTCTCAGTTTGCCCCGCTCTGTCAGATGTCCGCAGTACTTCTGATGAGATCGTAACAAATGTAAGCAAAGGATTCATGGCGGAGTTGTATAGGGCTGCCAGGAGCCGAATTGCCTAATAGCCAACGGCAGAGGCGTTTAATAAAAAAAAAAAATGTTTTCAATTAAATTTACTAACTAAATGTTAACTTTAAAAAATATTTTTACGTTTGTAGAAAGTATTTAAAATCCACCAAATCAAGGCAATGGCATTGTTAAAAAAACTATTTCATTCTACTTGTGTGAAAGAAGAAGTAAAATATAAAAGTATTTCATGGATTTATAAAGCATATGTTCATAAGCTTAAATATATTTACTTTTATAAAATTAAATTAGTGAATAATTTGATGAATTGTCCCTATGTGAAATCTCAACATTATCATATCTTCCTCTAAAGTACCTTTAATTTTGTATTTATCATTTATCATTATAACTATTTATCATTGTTAGGAGTTATGGAAAAATGCTAAATATAACTTTTGGAAGAATTTGATAATTAAAGGAGAAAAAAATAAAAATGCTTATTCAGGTCGAAAATTAATCTCCGGAAATACTGGTCAGAAGGTTTACGTACTATATATCGTTGAAAAGACGAGAATTATAGAAAAAAAATTATAGAAAGTTGTAGAAGGTAAGGAAGAGTGGCGAATAAAATACAAATAATAACATATTTTTAAAGAAATTAAATGGAATTTTCTTACTAAATGTAAACTTTTATAAATTGTTACAAGTTTGAAAAAGTATTTAAAACCCACGGATTCCAGGCAATGGCATTGTTTAAGATACTATTCCATTGTACTTGCGTGAAAGAAGAAGTGAAATATAAAAATATTTCATGGATACGTTTATAATCTTAAATATATTTACTGTAGCTTAATAACTCTAGATCTGACATTATATTTAAATCATTAGGTATCTATCGTCCGTTTATTCCGAAAAATCATTATGTAACCTTTTAGAAAATTAAATTTAGTGAATAATTTGACAAATTTTCCCTTTGCGATATGATTTTTTAGCTGCAATCTTTTAGCTTTAGCTCAGTTAAAAATGATTCAATAAATAAAAATTCAAAAATTTTATAATAGCCCAACATGGCCAGAAAATAATTTCTATTCATATTTGAGCGGTAGGTGAAAGTTGTTTGTTCCGCGCACCAGATTTTTACTTTCACTTCTTCTTCAATGGGCGCTACAGTCCTTGTAGAACCTGGGTCTCTGTCACCACTCTCCTCCACTCCTCACATTCTTCAGCAAGGTTCCTCCAATTTCTGATCCCCAGCCTCCTCAAGTCTTCTTCCAAATCATCCAACCATCGGTGTCTGGGTCTACCTCTTTGTCTTTTCTCTCCTAGAGTACCATTCAGCATCATTTTTGGAAGTCTACTGAGATCCATTCTTTCAACATGACCCAGCCATCTGAGCCTGCCTTTCTTAATGAAACCAAGGATGTCTGGCTCTCCATATAACTATGTGTTGCTTCTTATTCTCCATCTATGCTGCTCTCTGACAGCTCCAAAGATCTTTTTTAGCACTCTTCTTTCCCACACCTGTCTTCCTTGGTTATAGTCCACGTCTCACTGCCATATAAAACGACCGATCTAATCACCGTTTTATACATTACTATTTTTGCCTTCCTGGACAGACTTTTGTATCGGAGTGCCTTTTGCAAAGCATAGGAACATCTAGTTTCTGCAACCATCCTGCCTTTTATTTCTGCTTCCATATTATTGTTTTCCATCACTACTCCGCCCAAGTACTTAAATTTGTCATAGTTGCGAAACGTGTCTTCTCCCAATTTAATAGTATCTCCTCTCCCTCTAGTATGTCGGGATGTTTTCATATACCTTGTCTTTTCCATGCTTATAATGAGTCCTAACTCTTGAGCTGCATGCTTGAACTCTTCTATAGCGCCGGCTAGTGCTGCTTTAGTTCTTCCGGATATAACGTCCTCAGCATATGCCATGTGTTGCATGAGCCTATTATAGATGGTACCACCAGGGTTCGTCTTGATTTTCCAAATTGCAACCTCTAAAGCGAGATTGAATAGTACAAGAGATAACGGGTACCCCTGTCTTAAGCCACTGTTAACCCCGAAACTATCTAACATACCCACTGGTTTTTATCATACAGCTTGTCCTTTCTATGGTCATTCTGGTCAATCTTATTAGTTTACAAGGAATCTCCAGTAACTGTAAGGCTTCCAATAGCTTACTCCTGTTAACACTGTCATACGCCTGCCGGAAGTCAATGAATAGGTGATGCAGGTGTATATTATATTCTTACGCTTTCTCCAGCATTTGCCTGACAGAGAAAAGGTGGTCAGTAGTCGATCGTCCTGGGCGAAAACCACTCTGGTACTCTCCCAGAATTCTTTCACTCCTCTTCACAAGCCTTCAACATATTGCCACTGAAAGGATTTTATAGACTGTGGGTAGGAGCGCTATTCCCCTGTAGTTCTCACATTTGAGTTTATCTCGCTTTTTAAGTATAGGGACTATGATAGCCTCTCCCCATTCATCTGGCATTTTTTCTTCTGACCATAAGTCCCATATCTCCTCCACTCCTCACCGTTTTCTCACTATCCTCTTATTGGCATTATGCCACAAGTTTGTAGACAAGGAGTTATTTGCCCGCTTCATGAGAAGGGCGACCAAACGGACTGCGACACCTACAGGAGTATAGTCCTCCTTTCGAGTGCCTACAAGATGATTTCAAACATCCTTTTCGAGAGACAGGCAACTACCAGGCTGGATTCAGAAGGGGTAGGTCATCCAGAGACCAGATCTCTCTGAGAATGATTCTGGAAGAAGTCAAGAAATACAGGGTGGTTATACACCACCTCTTTGTGGATTTCTTCAAGTTTGAGTACGATAGTGTAACCTGACCCAAGTCTACCAGGTACTAGAAGAAATGGACATACCCAGGAAGCTGATTCGTCGAACTAAGCTGTTAGGGTCGAGCAGCATAGTTCGTATTGGATTTGATCTCTGAACCTATTGCCACGAACTGCAGTGTGAGACAGGAAGATACCCTTGCATGCCTTCTCTTTAAATTTGGTGGTGGTGAGCAGTACACAGATCAAGGATCCAAACATGAGCCACCTTATTCAACGGTACGGTCCAGTTACTGGGGTATGCAGATGACTTTGACCTAGCTGCCAGATCGGAGCGTGTCCTAAAAGAAGCATTCCTGGCTCTAGGACAAGGAGCCGAAATTCTTGGCTTGGTCATCAACGAAGCCAAGACAAACTATTTAAGAATAGGACCATATGAGGTCCCTACCTCTTTCTATTCCCTACCTTCAACTAACTGCTGTCCCTACAGGGTTTTTTTCGAAGTTGGACCATATAGATTTGAGAGAATGTAAAGTTTCGTATACATGGGCTCAGAAATAAACACTCAAAATGACCTATCCCAGGAGATCAACTGGAGAATTTCTGCAGCCAATCAAAGTTATTTTGGGCTAGCAAAATACTTCAAAAGCAGACACCTCTCCAACAAGACCAAGATCAGCTTATATAAGACCCTGATTTGTCAGGTTCTTACGTATGGGTCAGAGATCTGGGCATTCACTAGAGCCAGTGAGAACCTCCTTCTGGTGTTTGAATGGAAGATATTGAGAAGAATTTTTGGCCCGGTTCGAGTAGGAGACACCTAGAAAACGAGGAAGAACCAGGAACTCTCAAGGCTGTACAGAGATCCTGATATCATCAAGTGGATCAAGATTGAGAGAGTCCGATGTGTGGGCCACGTGGCAAGGATGAAGGAGGACGAGATCCCTAAGAGGACATTGGCTGAAGAGCTTGATGGGAAGCGAAGAGTAGGTAGGCCAAATGTGGGGAGGACTGACTTTGTCACAGCAGACGCACACAATCTCCTCGGCACTAGGAACTGGAAAGCTACAGAAACAGATAGAGCCAACTGGCTGAGACATTTGGAGGAGGCCTAGACCCATTAACAGGTTTTTTGCGTCAACTATGTATGTATGTGACCTCTGAGGTTGACTAACAAGTCTACATCTTCTTCTGCTATATCCATGACCTGAAAATCAGAGGCCTTTCTGATAGTTGTAGTGATGATTAGCGTATAGTATTTTTAGCATGAAAAACCACAATATGTTCAGCAAAACAGATGGTATCTGACGTCGAGTGCGAACAAATCAATCTCCTTTGAAATTCATTCCTTTATTTTGCTGGCTCATTTCCCCACTCCTTTAAACTTTCACCACATATAAAACACTTAGAACTTGCGGACAATCCCGACTCCAACCTAGGGAGGATATCGGGCCTCAATGCTCAAATAACTTATTTCAAATACATGATATTAATGAGTAAATCAACCGTTTATTACCAGTCAGGCCTTTGAGTTCAACTAAAACGAAGAGAATTTTGAAAGTTGAAGGAATAAGCCCTTTTTTTTATGCCAACTGGTTTACTAAGAAGATAGAACACAATAAATGGCTCAAATCATTCTAGCCCACTTATTACACCAATTTGTTTATAATAATATAAATTAGTAACAAACTAATCAAGAGACAGAACATAAATGTTAAGTTATAATTTGGATAAATTCCAAATTATATAGCTTATGTCTCCAAATTGCAGGCACAGAAAATAAACCCGTCAATGTTTCGCCAATTTAGCCATCATTAGGACAGCAAAGAATAGCTGCTAATTGAACATCACTCCATGACATTCAATCGCATAGTGAATGGCAACACTAATTATGAAAGATATGTTGGTTTATGAACAAAAAAACAAATGAATGGTAGGAATAGCATTAATGTTTGAAGAAAATACACTATCTACAAAAACAAATTTCGGTTATTTATTACATAACACTTACATTTATTACATAACAGTTAAAAATTTAAGAGATAGATCTTTAGGTACATAAAAAATCTTGATTCTTTGAAAGGCTCTCAAGAGAATAAAGTTCTCGAATAAATTAGTAATTTCTTTAGTTCCTCTATATTGTATTAATTAACTTACAAAAAAAATATACATAAAATCGATCTTCAATTAATATTATTGTTGTTGCTGAAAGAAATATGATGGTAGAGCTGCTGTGGTTGTTTCTCTGAGTATAAATAGCTGACTTTAATTCCAGAGTGGAGGAGCACTTATAGGATCTTGCACAAACCACTGTCGTACAGAAGTTTTTTAAATTGATATTTTCTATGCTTTAGTAGACTTCCTTACCTCCAAATTCACACACTCATATGGCTAATAGTCCTCTATTATAAAAAATTTTGGTTGGCATAGGATAGGATTAGTAGTTTCCATAATGCCTTAATCTGTAACAAAAAACATCACAATTATAATTTTTATTATTCCACAATGTCTACAAAATTAAAAATGTGATACTTTCAAATGATAATCTGGAAGAATCACAGGTCATTTTCATTAAATAATAAATATTTTAGATTCAGAATTATTATCAGCTACAGAAAATTAAAAAAATTTAAAGTTAATTAAATTTGTAAAAATTTGCCTAGCTCTTAGTGAGGCATTATTAGGATAACCATATTAATATAGAGTTAGACCTCAATAACTAAACTCATAGAAATGACATATTTAATGGAGTTATCTGGATATCAATTATCAAGGGCAAGAATTATGTGACTTCAATTTAATAAATAGATTTTAAATCAAAACAAATTTTGGTCTTTGTTCCGCCTTTTCTGGCCATACCACATCATGGCACACATGCCTTGGGTTGGGCTTCCCTGCACTGCACTATAAGTATATTGGGAAATATTACATGAATTAGAGGGAAAAATAAAAATCTTTCCCATTCCGAATCTAGAAGTTCTAGAGAGAAGAAAAAAGCAGTTTTTACTTAACCTCTTATCTAGAAAAATGTCAAGTGGTGGAGGCTTTAAAAAAATTAAGGTTAATGAGTCTTACTGCACCAATGCTTTCTACTCTTTATTGTTGTAATTGGTATTTCTAACTTCTTACTTATAATTAGTACTTCTATGGGGTTGTCCGGAAAATAATGCAGGATTTTGAGAAATACTCCTCTATACAACAAACTGTTTAAGTTTACTGGATTATTTTTTTGTATGAATGTCAACACTTATTAATCCTCTTCCAAACGATAATGTTAGTTGGCAGCATTAGTGAGTACACTGTTCAATGGTGGTTCAAAAATTTTACTTTAGCCATGAAGACAAAGGTCATGGAAGGACTTCCTCTATTGATGATGATGTTCTGGGGGCTTTATACGAAGAAAACCCCAGAATAACTGTTTGAGAACTTGTAGGGAAACTTAATCTTAGCAAATCGACCGTCAATGACCAAGGCGAATGGAAAAATAAAAAAGCTTGAAAGTTTGGTTCCACAAATATCAAACGACCCTCCCCCCAAAATACAGCATTTTAAAGTCTGTGCTACACATCTTTGCCAAAACAAAAACAATCCTTTTCTATCCAGAATTGTTACTTTGATGAGGAGTGGATACTTTACGATAACAGTAGATGTTCTGGACAGTAGGTTGACAAAGGAGAAGCAGCAGAACATTTTTCAAAGCCCCCAACTCATCAAAAGAAGGTGATGGTTACTGTTTGTTGGACTCCATTTGGATTGACGTACAACAGCTTCTTCAATCCTAGGGAAACCATCAATGCTGAATCGTATTGTAACCACATTAATGCAATGCATCAGAAATTGACATTAATGAAGCAATCTTTGTCAATTTCAATCGGTCAATCGGAAGGGGCTCATTTTGTTGCATGATAACACCCGGCCACATCTTAGGTGTGACGTTACAAAAACTGCTGCAGCTTGGATATGAAACTCTGCCACATCCGCCCTACTCTCCAGATCTCTCGCCTATGGATTATAATTTTTTTTAGACATCTGGACCACAACTTATGTGACTATAAATTTAATGGACAAAGGGAATTAAAAGATAAATTAAATTCTATTCTGAGGAAATGGAAAAGTTGTCAACATGTTGGCAGAAATGTATTGATAGTTGTGGAGATTATTTTGATTAAATAAAAAAAATTTAAATCGTTCTAACACAACTCGACAACCCAATATTTAAGTTGTAGTGAAGGAATTATTTTTCTTCAATCATAAAAGGCGAATTCACACTCAGGTAGGTGCCTTAGCTTATAAAATTTTTCCACTTTTCCGGATCTGCTGGACATCCTGAAGATAATTTTGAATTAACAAGGTATTGAGTTTTGACGTTTGAGTTAACGAGGTAGACTGTACATGGTGATTGCAATGATAATCATTGCCACCCATAATAAATAATATAATAAAATAAAATAAAATAATAAAACCACCCACAAACACCTGATCAAGAGCTTTCGATAATAAAATTACTATTCCATGTAGAATTCTATACCAAAATATATTATGATTAATAAATTGTATATTATTCAAATATTGTGTATTGATCGTTTTTACTTACACTTACCTATATATGAGATATATAGCAAAAGAAAGTATTACAATCATGAAAATTTTTGAATCTCTGTTTTCAATGGAAATACGCGTTTTGAGGTCCTCTAAGTCCAAATAGCCATGGTTAACAGTCTAGCTCAAAAACCAAAACGGAAGTGAAATTGCATATTTAAGGTTTTTATATGCAAGGAATGTTACAACTTTTTCGTCAAAATCTGCCAACTGGAAGTGACACTTTATATAATGGACTAAACAAATTTTTACGATTATCTTGAAAACCGCTCTAACAATTTTGATTAAATTCATCAGATCAATATAAAATTAAGCAGTTTTAAATAAAATGTGGTTATTATTCTGATTGATGTTCTCTAACAGGGCTTAAATGTCTAATTTTCATTATTAGCTCCCTCTAAAGTACCTTTAATCTTTTTTATTTGAAATAATTAACCATTTCACAATGATCTCTAGTATAAAAAATAGTTAAATATAAAATATGAAAGAATTTGATAATTAATTAAAGGAGAAATATGAGATCATAATGGAGAACAGTTGTAACGGAGCAACCAAAGGAATACGAGCGCATCCAAGCTCACCTGAAGGAGTAGAACAGTCTTCTATACGTTTTTGTTCCATATGTAACATGAGCTCAATACAATACGGACTCCGATAATATTATGTACATATACATAAGCAGTTTTCATAAGTTCCATCATTGGTATTGTTTAATATTTAATTGTATAGATTACAACAATATAAAAATCAAAATTTGTATATACAGGGGTACTTAAACAAATACAAGTACCCACAATGAAATATAAATAAATATAGCGTCTATAATTTTAACTTAAACTTTCCCTTTGTCTGAAAATACTTATTTCTGCTAAGAGGGTAGTAAATGAAAGATGTGTGATGTGCGCACCGCACCAGATTTTTATAATATACAATATGCAATCGCATAGCCAATGGAATTTTTGATCTGTAATAGCTCCTTCAAAAAAAGGCTATGGTTTCTATTGATAACCAATAATTATAAACAAGATATTAGATAATTAGATATTAGCTCTTATAAAATTATATACAAATTACATTACACATACCTGTATAGGAATGCAGTGCTCTTACTGTTGGCACAAGAAAAGTAACCAGAAGAGGGGGAAAAGTCGAAGGCTTGTATTCTTCCTAGCTGAGAAGTGAAGGATGGAAAATTATTATACACCGTCATTGATGGAAGGTGGGCCTGTAATATAAATATAATAAAATAAAATATAAAATATATAATAAAATTCTTCCATATCATGATATGGAAGAAAAACTAAAAGAAATAAAGATTTTTTTTTTAATTGACATTATAAAACTTACCAATTTAACATGGTTATCTTTTTCATCTGAAGCCATGGCAAGAATCTGTTGTGTAGAATTGAACTTTAAAGAAGTAACTTGAGTAACAAGATTCATAAATGCTTTAAGTGGCTTAGGTGGAGTACCTGATTTTTCAGGCCTTTCATACAAATTGACTACTCCCCAGGATGATCCTGTAGCAAGATAATCATATGATGCTGCCATTGAAGTCCCCACTAATATACCATCATCAACAAACTTTGTAACAAGACTTCGAGAGTTCATATCCCAAACATATACTTCTCCTAAATCTGAAAATATAGAATTTCAGTTAGTGATAGAATTTCATTCGCCATATTTCAATATTTTAGAGGAGTTGGTTTAAAATCGTGTTAATAAACATACATTGTCCGACTGAAGACAGTGATGATGAAGTCAAATGTGAATTTTATGATAAACTCGAATGGGTTTATGATAAAACTACAGCGCAACTCCATGAAAATAATTGTAGATGATGTGAACCAAAGGTGGTAAGGGAAGAGGTCTATTTTCCAACGATCAGTAAAGAATGTTAACATGAATATAGTAATGATAATCGGATTTAGCTGATAAACTTTGCCATCTCAAAAAATTTGATTATTAAAAGTACTATGTGTAAACGTATGGATATTCATAAATATACTTGGACATCACCGGATTCGAAAATGCGAAATCAAAATCGATCGTGTCTTGATACAAAATAGATGGCAAAGTAGTATAATTAATGTACAGCCTTATCGTGGAACAGAATGTGGTTCAGATCATGAATTAGTAATCGGGAAACTTCGACAAAAACTAAATAGAAAAACTAGAAAAGAAAACAGTTTTAGTACTGAAAATTTTAATTGGAAAAAATTAAAGAACCCATCAATTAGAAATCAATTCAAGCTAAAAGTTAGGAATAGGTTTGCAACTTTAGAAATTTCGGACGAGGATCGTGATGATATAGACAAGTGATGGGTAGAAATCTCGGTCAGTAACTCATTTCTTGTTAAAAAAGAAAATAAGAAGAACAAACTGTGGTTCGATGAAAATTGTTAAAACATGAGTGAAAAAAGAAAAGCTGCTCAATTAAAAGCTCTAAATAATCCTAGTGAAAATAATCTTGAGTACTTCCGAGCCTTAAAGAGTGAAAAGATCAAAAATAAAAAAAGAGAGTATGTTAAAAATACAATAATTGAAATAGAATTGATAATAATATAAGAAAATTGTACAAAGTGATCAACCAATCATGTAAATGTTTAGGGCCCATAATGTCTGGAATTAGGGATAAAAATAATAATATCCTGACCGATCCGGAAGATATATTGAGTAAGTTTACAAACCACTTTGACAATATTTTAAATATGGGAAATAATGATATGTGTCCTTCCTTTGAGTATCAGAATGCTGAACCTCTAACAGAAGAACCAAGTAAAGATGAAACTGAAGGAGCTATCAAAAAATTAAAATCATATAAAGCAGCAGGAACTGATAATATTCCTAGTGAACTAATTTAAGCATGCGGTGAAGCTGGAGTTGTTAAAATACATTTATTGGTTTAAAAGATTTGGGAGAATGAGAAATTGCCTAAAGAATGGAAAGAATCTATTCTTATTCCGATTCACAAAAAGGGCTCAAGAACAAATTGTAATAACAATTGAGAAATCTCCCTCCTTCCAATATGTTATAAAATGTTATATTCACATTTATCCTTACTAATGGAATCATGGAATACACCGAGAAAATCATTGATTATCAAAGCAGATTTAGAAAGAACCGTTCAACTATTGATCAAATATTTTCTTGAAGGCAAATATTAGAGTACAACGGTATTGTTCACAAGCTATTAATCGATTTCAAAAAGGCTTACGATTCAATTGACAGCCAGAAGCTCTATAATATTCTACTTGAGCAGGGAATTCCCAAAAAATTAGTAAATCTATTATCAGATATGCTTGACAGAAACATTCAATAAAGTGAGAAACGGTAATTATTTATCCGAAAACTTTCGAGGTTCATTCGGGTTTAAAACAAGATGATTCACTTTTAGCTGTCCTGTTTAATTTAATATTGGAGCTTGTCATTACGGAGGTAATGCGTACTGAAAAATGTTTGAAATTGGTTGGGACAATACCTATGCTTGGTTAGGCTGAAGATTTGGTCCTGTTAAGCGAAGAAATGGAAACTGAAAAGCTAAATACGACAACGTTAATGAAAACTGGTAAAGAACTGTGGCTCAAAATAAATACAGATATGACATATGATTAGCTGTAAAAATGGCAACAATTTCGATGATATCGATATAGAAGAGAATATGTTCGAACATGTAGAGAAGTTTAAGTATCTAGGGTCTATGATAACTAGAAAAAAGGAAATTGGAGAGGAGATCAAGGTTAGGCTGAAGGCAGAAAACACTTACTATTTTTCTGTGACAAAACTACTTCCTCACACCTCCTGTTACTAAATTTAAAATATAGAATTTATAAAACCATTATCCTGCCTATGGTTCTCTATGGATGCGAAATGTGGCTGCTTACATCAAGGGATGACCAAAGCCTTAAGGATTTTGAAAAAAAAGCATTGCGTAGACTAATCGGATCAAAAAAGGATGAGTCAACTGGAGAATTTAGAAAGTTATACAATGCCGAATTGCATGAACTGTATCAGGTTAATATAATTGAAATTATTACAATATTATACACAGGAAAATTTCAGCTAATTTTTATCGGACACCAGGCTTGTTTAAGTTTACAAATTAAAATTTTTCGCTTTTCCATAAAGTATTTAGTGAGAAAACATTAGTAGAATATTTCATCAATGCCAATCAAATAAACTATATGCTTCAGTAAAATCATTAGTTGGTTTAAAATCAGTCCTCTTGATTTATTTTGTCACTATACTGAACCACTAATAAAAAGAACATTGCCGGTTGAGCAACAATACTACTAACATTAAAGAAATAAAATTATTATAGGAAAACTAACAACACCAAGAATTTTTCTTACCTCCATGAGAATAGAGAAAACAACCATCTGGACTGAATGAAAGTGATTTCACATTTCCATTCATGGATATATCAGCAATCCACTCCTTAGAGGCTGCAGAAAGTAGGTGAATTTGTCCAAAGCGTCCAGCTACTGCAATCAGCCTTCCATCAGGTGAGACTTCAAAGTTCTAAAACATATAAAATTAATGCTTTAATCATTAACATAAAATTGTAAATAATTAAAATAATAAATGGATTGAAAGCAACCTTCATATTAGTTTGTTCCATGTTATGATGGGTTATAATTTTCATTGTTGAACCTTCCATCATGTCATAAACATAAAAGTACGAATGGTGTTGGGATCCTACAATAAACTGTTTTCCATCAGCAGAAAAATGACCACATCGAATGGGGAAGCGTTCAAACTGAATAGAAGATAGTTTATTATTTGCTAATCCGTCTACCTACAAATAAATATACAATAAGGCTATTAAAAATCAGAATAATAAAAAACTTATATACTAAGTTTGTAGTACAAAAAAATATTTAATAAAAGCAGATAAACATTAATAATAAACTAAAATATAATAAGAATAAATAATATAGTGAATAATTAGCAAGGATGAAAAAGCAACTCACTATATGGATCTGATCAGATAATAAATATGTTGCCATACATGACAAAAATATGTGACAACTGCTTTAAAATATGTTGAAAAAAGATATAGATGTACATATATATACATAAATATTTACTTGAAAAATTGATGCAGTCCCAGAGAGTCCAGCGACTAAAGCAACTGTACTAGTGGGGTGGAATTCAACACATTTTAAAATGGGACCTTCATTTCGAGTTTCACTATTCAATGAAGCAAGACGTTTAACATTTATAATGTTTCGAGGTAAGTAGGTTGGTTTAGTTATCAAATTCCCAGAACTCTAAAATAGACAATTGGAAGTATTAATATAATGAAAAAAATATGATTAATTAATTTATCTAATCAATAAATTACCCGCAGTAAAAGAGTATCTTCATCACTTTTAACATGAACTGATTCTTGTGAAAGTCTGGCCCAAGAAGGTTGCCCGAAAGTTTGTGAAAACTTCTTTCGTAGCCTGTCTTCATTAGTTAATAGCTCTTCAGATCTAAAATTGATAATTATCAATGATTCTTATGAAGATGATAAAAAATTAATACTGATCCAGATTAAAAAAATACTTAAAACAAATTGTAACATACGTGCTAATTCCTAAATCATCTTCATCCTCCCATGCAGGCTGTCTTCCAGCTTCATCAGCAGATAAACTATCTTCCACTCCTGAATCATTATCGCCAACTCCCAGGTTTCTAAGCATGTACGATGCATCTCCCAAAACAAGTTTTTCGAGCCTGTTAACATTTATTAAATTATTTAGGCAATAAAGTATAAATCAATTTCTATTAATTTCCATAAAAAGATAGTCTGTGCTTAAGAAACAAGAATTGAATTCCTATTAAAGCAAGATTAGCATTAAATAACTTAAGACTAATATCAATTCAATTGTAAGTATCCATTAAACTGTAGAGTCAGCTAGCATATAAAGAAAATGAATGGTAAATGAATGGTGAAATATTAATTTTTTTTTCACTTGATGAGGATTGTCAACTCCTCACTACTACCACTACCACTCTTCTCCTATTTCTCCTCCTCTTTGAAAAGCCTGTTCCCACCAATTCCCAAGCCTGTTAACAACTAGTTACAATGCTAGTAACAATAACCACAGGCACAATACTAGTGACAACAATCACAGGCACAATACTAGTGACAACAATCACAGGCACAATACTTGTAACAACAACCACAACATCAGTACTAGTAACAACTAGTTACATGTAACTATTTGAACTAAATGTAAGTACATGTCAATAAAAATTTTATTCCTTTTTATAAAAGGCCTTGAAAGATGGCTCAAACAGCATTTTATATCTTTCCTACCAGAGTAATTAATGTTTTAATAAAAATTATTAACTATCGAATTTGTAAATATATAATTTGTTAATGAAGTTCTATAAATAAGATATGGTGTTATATGCTCAATGGAATTTTAAAATATACGTTTAAGGGAAATGTGGGGTTAGTTCTAGAGCTGACGACATAACATTCAACAGTTTTTGGCGTTTTATGAACAAGTATGACAGTGTTGATTGTGAACCACATATAATCATAGAACTCGTGTGAACTAGTACCTGAATCAATTACCATGACAGACGTATTAGAATAAGGAACATTTAGTTGGTCACTTAACACTTAATTAATTACTATGATTGACGTATAAGCAAAAACACTTGTACAATATGACTTTTTAGATGATAAATGCTTGCAATAATATCATTTTTTATAAATAATAAGTTTATTTCTTTAATTAATTTATTGGATTACATCAACATAATAAAAAATGAAGAGTAAATTAAAGCTTTGCAATAAATTATTGTAGTAAAATTATTATCGTAATAAAACAGTTCAAAAGACCATATTTCCACAACTAGTCGTCCGATTTCAACTTCTTTTGTTTACTTTTTAGGTGATTTCATCACCTTTCAAATAAGCATACACATAACCAACAAAAAGTGTATTGTTCACAATAATAATTCACAAATAAAATTTGCAATTCGCCATAACAATTGTTCAGCTTCTTTTTGGGGAACTATGCTATATATATACTGTATAATAGGTTAATGTAAATATGTAAATGTAAACTCAAAATCATAATCTAAGCTTCTTGATTATTAGCATAAATGGCACTATTATAAAAAAAAAAAAAAATTAATTTCAGAATGGTGTGATTCAGTAGACTATAGTACAAAAACGGCTGTAATTATTTTAATGAAACTTGCCTGTCTTCTTATAAACCTAAAGCCCTATGAATATATATATATATATATACTAATATAAGAAGCTTGTATTATGGCTTCGAGTTTAAATTGACATATTTACATTAACCTATTTTAATATGAAATCAACTAGTCAGATTTTACAGTTTAAACCTAACATCTGACAATTTGAGCAACGTGTGCTTAACTAAATATGTATAATGACACTAACAACATAATAACTAACCTTTCTTTTTCAGCATCCACGAGGTCTATAATCTTCTTTCTTTTACCACCTAAATTTTGAATAGGTACTTTACGCTTTCGCTTACAATTGGTTTCATCGTCAGACTCCATGATTCAATAATATTTTTGTTCACTAGCACTACAGAGAGATGTTCAGCTTCAGGTTACTGAAAGGTTAAGTCAGTAACCAATGAGGTTGTAATAGAGGTTCCTTCCACAGGTTCCTTCACTCAGAAATGCCTCGTGGAGAGGGGGCAAGGTCAGTAAAACTACCAGGTTCGCTCACTCAGAGGGAAAATGGTGGGGAGGAATTGAGCACTGATGTAGCCAGACTGATTTTGTTTGTAATTTACCTTTGTTTCTGGACATTAAGATTATTATTATTATTATTATAAGATTATTTACTTTTACACATTAAATCAATACTGCATTGCCAAATAACTTATTAATTTATTAATTTTAATAAATTTAAAAGGCGAGAGAAAGGTTGATTTGATATCTGGTTTATTCTGAAGCAAATAAAATGTAATTTAACAAGTTGTATGATTTTTTGCAAAGTACCACAATACTACTTTTTAAATATTTCAAATAAATACAGAGCATAATATAAAATAATAGAAATGTGGAAAAAAAAAAAGAAAAAGTATTTAATCTAACATTAAAGAAACGTTTTCTTTCCGTGAGTTTTTGTAAATATTATTAGGGCCCAGCATAATAATACATTTTTATGTCATAAGTAATCCAATGTAGTGATTTTTCTCAAGTTTTTTGGCTTTGATTTTATGTTTTCTTAATTGTTGTAAAAATCATTGGGTATTTAAAAATTTGATTTTATTAAATACCTTTTGCTGAAAGAAAGGCTTTCTTTATTAATTTCTACATTTTGTTTCCTAAGAAAAATATAGTAAATTTTTTTTACAATATTTTTAAATTTACATTTTAAAATCCAATCTTTTCTCCGAGTGTCCTTTGGAAAAGTATGAAACGAAATTTTCTTTCCCATCTTTTTTGTGTCAATCACGGGTGGATCCACGAGGGGGAGAGGGCTTTCGGGCTGAAGCCCCCCCAAAATGGGAAAATATAACCCCATGTTTTATCGAAAAAAATTATCTCTCAAAGTATTATTTTTCGTGTAATTACATTTAAAAGGGCTTTAGGAATCATTTAAACACAATTTCATATAGGTAGTTAGTTTCTTTTTTTTTCCCAAAGTATTATTGCTGTACTTCTTTTTTTCGTTCTGTTATTTAATTTGTTGAAGAGAATATCCATCCTCGTGACATGATGAAGGAGATTCCAAGTAGGTAAATAAATAAGATTAGCGACGTAGATAAAAATGCTATGAAAATGACAGGCAAGACCTGAAACGGAAAGAGGGAAATTAATAATAAGATTATTTTAAAGCCCTTTGTTCCAAAGACACTTACCATGAATAATGGGGCAAATATATTACATAAATTCTAAATTATGATGCAACTGTGTCTCTGATAGCAGAAAAATCCAGATGAAATGCAAGAATAATCTGAAGGCCTTGGCGGGCAGAAATGGTAAAATTTCTTGAGATAAAATCTTCCGTTAATCCGGCATTAGTTATTGTGAATGTTCGGTGTCTTACAAATTATGATAATCTTAAAAAATCGTAACAGTTGATTCTGTACATTTCTAAAGCCAGTCTGGTATTTTCCTAGAATTCTGAGCTCTCGTTTCGATTTTCCTGTCTGGCAACTTTCTGCATCTTCCATAGTAGAGTCATTAAACAGAGTTTCAAAGTGACCCACCCATCTTTGGAGAATTTCTTCGTGAGCAGCAAACCGTCTTCGCTCTTGCAGGGTATAGAAGTTGGTTTGAAATCGGCTCTTTCCTACGATAAAAGAGTCTGCTGTCATTTACTTTTCATAGTTTCTCAATTTCTTCCAGTTTTCTTCTTTTTTTCTGTGAAGTTTCTTCTTCACTCGCCGCAAAGCTCTATATTCTTTCGACGCTAGTCTGGTATATCTTCTGTGCGCAATCGATTTGAAAGCTTGTATTTTTTGTGTCGGTCTTCTAAATCAAACCACTCATCTCTAGTATATGCCGATTCGTTTTCTAATTCTTCATCTGCAGCCCTCGTTTTAGCTTCATTCAGAATCCTACATTCACCTTCTAATTCAGATTCGTTGCCCATTTCTTGTTCTTCATCTGATATATGTACTGTTTCTCATATCTTTGACGAGTTTCTGCATTCTTCTACTTGCTTGCGTTGAATTCTTTACTAGCCTTCCTCCTTACTGTTGGACTAATGGAAATTCAAGCTCGTATTCTGGATATTACCAAATAATCGTCCGAATCGATGTCAACGCCATAAAAGTTCTGCTGCAGATGAGTTTGCATTTGTGGGGAAGAGGGGACGATACGAGCAGGTGTTCAATTTGGTTAAATCTTCGCCATATTTAATACGGGTAATTGCACGCGTTTTTGAGAATCCTTTTACCAGGGATGCAAGGTACTTGCAGTGCCAGTCTTAGGGCGGGACAACCGGCGTAATTACCCCGAGACGCTGACATGGATGGGTGCTCGTTGGTCGCGCCGGCCGATATTCAGAGATGCTCGCCACTTTTTATTAATTAAAAGAAAATACAAAACGTAATAAAATAATTAATTTTATCCTATCAACAAAGCAACCGTATTAGATAAATATTGAATGAAATAAAATTCAAGTATTGAATAATATAAAATAGCTTAAGAAATAGATTTTAAGAGGTTTTTTTTCAAAGAGGAAATGACGTCATTGCCCGGGAGCGCCGAATGTCTAAGGCCGGCGCTGGGTACTCCCTTTAACCGAATCCCTTGAGAAGGCAAAGTTCATTATAATGATATCTTTCCATTCTCGTTGCTTTCTTCATGAAGCATCCATTTCCTAATCGTGCGACGATATATTTTTTCCTGGTATTAAAGCCTCCTGGTCCGACCTTGGTATTAAAGCCTCCTTGCTGTATTTTTATATCACTTCAAGGACATCTGTCGAGCTCTCTCTCCATGGCATCGTAGAATTTTTATTTTTTCTCCTCTGAAGATTTTTCTATGGGAGCAATTAATCAGACTTATATTAAAGAAGTCTTTTGAGCCTTAGTCTACAGAGCCTTGGACTTACGGAAGCGTAATCTATGACTCCTCCTTTCATTCCCGATGTCGAGTAATAAAATGTGTGATATCTTTTCTCCAGAATTTCCTGGATCACAGTGAGGTCAATCTTATAATTGTCAATTTTCTTCAAGGGAGCTTGAAGTCCACCTGGTTTATTTAGAGTTGAAATGTACCTTTATCCAATTATTATGTCCTTATGAGGGTTCCGATGTATTTTACCATTTAGCAATCCGGCTTTTTCTCTTTGAAGTTTCGGGATAAGGGTGGTTTATGGGGAGGGGATATCAACCCATGCCCTGCCCCTGAGTCAGATGGAGGGACTGACTCCTCGGAGCTTCCTAACGCACTCCCCTGTGTGGGCCGGTTATCTTAAGGTGTGTACTGTTATTGACCTTAATGTATAATATGGGGGTGAGTGTCAGTGTACTGTTCCCTCAACCTGGAGAGCCAGTGGCTGAACAGTCCCCTACCATGAAATTCTGAACCAACGGTACTCCATTCATAAAATTTGAGCATGACAGGAGCTTATATTTGCTAAAAAACCGATTTTGAGTCTTGGTGTGATAATATGTGCGGGGATGGGGATAGTACTGTTGTGTTGATCTGTTTACCACATAAATCATTTCTCCTGCTAAATCATTCATAACTAGGGATTTAACCCTAATTCAATGTTACTATAACCAATGGAAAGCTGAATTGTTGCTCTTTAAAACGATGTCAATAACTTATAGATTCGACTCCTTTAAGGAATAAATAAATAAAATCCTCAAAAGTTTTTATTTTATCCTCCTGTTCAAATATATTTAAACGGGACTGACTTTTGTCATTTCTTGTAGTTTATGTGGTCCTAAATTTTCGTGTGGATTCATTTTGAAACATAGACGGGCATAATCATAATCAACGATTATGATTTCGATTACAATAAAAAAATAACACATTTATTTGATTACAAGATTGTAATCGTAATCGCGATTTTTGATTTGATCGTACTTGATGTAATCGTACTTATGTAATTATAATCATTGTAATAAAAATCAATATTGTACATGATTTTCCTCTGTTTAGAGATAGACTAATAGGAAAACAAGTATAGAACATTAACAATCGGGAGCACTTTCTATGATAATACCGTCGGTTAACATTTAACATTTTCCGAATTTTCATTCGCATTTTCCTCTTTTATCTCCTGAACGAATGCTCGGTTTTTCACCACTCCAGCAGTTTTCTGACTATGTAGATATGGGCGACAATGAAGAATTGGTGTAGAAAAGTTTCCGAATTTCCATTCGCTTTTCTTCTTTTGTTTCGTGAATGGATGCTCGGTATTTCACCGTTCCTAGAATTGTATTTAGTTATTTAGTTTAGAAACAGGCTTGGTGAAACAAGAATGGTACACATTTTCCGATTTTTCATTCGCTTTTCCTCTTTTATCTAGTCAATGAATGCTCAGTTATTCACCGTTCCAACAGTTTTCCAATTAGGTAGATGTAAGCAAAAATGAAGGGTTGGTGTAGACAATTTTCCGAATTTTCATACGTCTTTCCTCTTTTATCTTGTTAATGAAGGATCAAGTTTTCACCGTCCCAACAGTTTTCCGGCTTTGTAGAGGTAAGTAAAAATGGGGAAATGGTGTAAACAAATTTCTGAATTTTTACACGTTTTTCCTCTTTAACTCGTGAATGGATGTCCGTTTTTTCACGGTTCAACAATTTGATAATTGTTTAGAAATAGGCTAGTGGAAACCAGAGTGGTACAAGTGTCCTAATATTCATTCGCATTTCCTCTTTTATTTCGGGAATGAAGGATCAGTTTTTCACCGTTCCACCAGTTTTCCGACAATGAAGAGGTAAGTTAAAATGGGGAAATGCTGTAAAACAATTTTCCGAATTGTTCCATGCTTTTCCTCCTCTAACTCGTGAATGGATGTTCGGTTTTCACCGTTCCAACAATTTGATAAGTGTTTAGAAATAGGACAGTGGAAACAAGAATATTACAAATTTTCATTCGCTTTTTCTCTTTTAACTCGTGAATGGATGGTCGGTTTTTTACCGCTCCAACAATTTGATAAGTGTTTAGAAATAGGTCAGTGGAAACAAGAGTATTACAAATTTTCATTAGCTTTTTCTATTTTAACTCGTGAATGGATGGTCGGTTTTTTACCGCCCCAACAATTTTATTTAGGAGTTCGGCACGAGCCGTAGACAAGGACACATCGGCTTTACGTTGATGTCACTTTTGATTGTTTTTTTTCATCCATTCAAGCTGAGAATTTGCATATTGGTGGAGCCGTATTCTGAAATTTTTCTACTGATCTACATAGTCGGAAAACTGTTGGAACGGTGAAAAAACCGATCTTTCATTCCCGAGGTAAAATAGGAAAAGCGAAAGAAATTTCGGAAAATGTTTACCACCCTGTTTTCCATTGGCCTGCCTCTAAACAGCTATAAAGTTGTTGGAACGGTGAAAACCCGAACATTCATTCACGAAATAAAGAAGGGAAAAGAGTATGAACATTTTCTACAAAATTTCCCCTACCTCTATATAGCCGGAAAACAGTTGGAATGGTAAAAAATTGATCCTTCATTCACGAGATAATAAAGAAAAAGGGGATGAAAATGTTAAACCCACAGTATTATCATAGAAAGTGCTCCCAAGAGCTAAAAGAACATGTTTTATACCAGTTTTCTTGTTAGCCTATCTATAAACAGAGAAAAATCATGTTATATGATTATGATTGTAATCAGGCAATTATTTCATACTTTTACTATATTTACAGTGCTATTGTGTCAAGTATACAATTGGCGTGTCATCAAGTTTTATTTTCAGTTATAATCATTGATTAGGATTTTGCCCATCTCTGTTTTGAAGTTATCCCACATTTTGTGATTTAAAAAAAAAAAAAATAAAGCATAAGGTGCAAACTAGGTGAAGAAAAAAAAAAATCAAAAAGTTTTTTGATTGATATGAAAATTTGCATTTGAGGCTTTTTCGAGGTGTGAAATACATACATCAACTTTGCCCCTGAACATATTTGAACCCACTGTTCTCCTTCGGGGTATAAATTATTTCAACATTGTACTCACACAACAGCTGTATGTGGACATTCTATTATGACCTGCAGTCAGAATTCCTGGTCCCTACACTACTTAGTAGGATCACATACTTGACTTCTTCTTCGTAAGAGGAAAGAATTTTTTTTTAAATTTAAACACAAAATCATTAGCGTGAGATGTACTGATTCCTGGTGGAGCTGAGGTTTACGTCATGAGTCAGCCTCAGCAAGTTTTTTTTTATCATTTCAATAGCATCCAGATATCAATGGTAAACTAACAAAGAACTTTTGTTACACCAAATTAATATTCCCTTATAGATAACACTATTACCAGAGGAAATTCATCCATACAGAGTACATCATTTTATAGAGAATATAACATGCCTCGGGTTACAACAATTTCTAATTTTGTCTAGAAAAACTCACTTTCGAAAGCAATTATATTTTTAACTATATAAATTCAATTTTTAGAATGACATATTTTCAAGCTATCGAAAATATTCCAAAGTTGTCATAACATTAAAATCCAAGAAACCTTCAGACTGTATGAATTTCTATTCTTTTATTAGCCCTTTACTTTTTTCAAACTATTTGAAAAAAAATCTTCATCATTTGTATTCTCTTGAAATATTGAAAGCTATTCCAAATCATCCGTTCAGCTACAGATGAGGAAAAAAGAAATAAACATAAAAAATTCCTTATAATGAGCAGAAAGGACTAGTAAGAGTGATTTAAGATTTCATATGAACCAGAGAGAAATCATCAGAACGTACAACTACCTTCTATACCTTCTAAAATAATATAAAATCTCTCAAAGCATGAGACAAGACAGCAGCTAAGCTCAATGCTGTTAATATTGGTTCTGCATAGGACTTAAAGGAAGATTAAGTGGGTAAGGTAATGAATCATGAAATTTATTTATAACATTAACAATATTTACATGCATATAAAACAGGTTTGATTAAAAATATGTGCATTAATTATTAAATATTTAACCACCATGGAGAGTAGAAATAAACATTATTTTATCCTTTCTTTGAATTTCATACTCCAGTTCTCCCTAAAACATTTGAATGGGTACATAATTAGTAAATATCTGATTCATAAAATTTTCGTTGTTGATATTTAAGATCAAAATTTTGTTATATAATTAAATTGTTAATATCTTAAATTAAATGTTATTTCATGTTAAACTAGTAATTTTTTTAGCCTAAAATAACCAACTATCATCACACCATTAAATTTATTTGGGTCATTGAAGAACTAAATAAGCAGTCGTTTTTACTATCCTTAATTATCTATTACTAATAATGGAACCAACTGGATAGTTGGACTGGAACCAACTGGCCTTCAGCCTGTTCCTAATAATTCTTAAAAACATAAGTGTTCTGTTCAAGTTTAATCCAATTTTTGAAAATGTATATTCTAATTTTAAGTTTTTTTCATACATATTTTTTAAAGAGGGGAAAAATTAATTAAATTTACTGGTTTTTAATATCACAATGGGGAGACAATCAAAAATAACACTCTCTTAGACCAATAAAATGGTTTTCAATATCTTCTTTAGTAAATATATATACTATACCTGTACCACTACAACCCATGAAGGGTCTTGGGTTCAGTACTATTTAGGAAAAACACTGGTTCTAGGTCAACGGTTGTGCAAGGAGGTGATTTGACCGAGATCACGCTCAATCGCCTCTTTAGTAGATAAGGAAGGAAATTCATAATTTTTGAGTATAGTGCTAAAACCAATTTGAGGGTAATGAACAAATTTAGATGTATAATTGTGGGTTGATGGTTGACTGTAGTGAATAATTGAAGAGAATGATGGTTGGTGTGATCAGTCAAAATAAATAGTTATATTTATTTTATTTTTTTTTTTTAATAAATATAATTATTTAATTTTTTATTTTATCACTCCAACCATTATTCTCTTCAAATTTAGATGTAGAAGACTGATGTAATAGGGAGCCAAAGATGTTTGTACAGAGAGGCCAATAATCTTGCATTAATTGATGATAAAAAACAAAAAAATCTGGTGTGTCCACTCACACGACTTTCCTACCTATTTCAGAAAAGTATTTATATCTTTACATATCTCCATCAAAAAACAAAAAAAAAAAATTAATTAGATTTTCTTTCTTGAAAATTGATCAAAGAAAAGATTTGAGTATGATTTATTTGATAAATTAAAGCAATAAAAACCGGCTTAACATAGATCAGTGTAAAAATTTAAAATACCCTCTAATATTGCTGATCAAAAACTTTTTGCCATAGCCTAATTTTGTCAACAATAATTTCTGTTAAAAGTTGCAGAATTAGTGAAGCTTGGGTAATGTGGGCAACAGATTTCCTTACTTTGACATAGTTATCTTTTTTCTCTCATTCAAACCTTTCTGACACCAGGATATGAACCCCTAATCTTATATTGGAAATTGAATAGCTATAACTTTGTTAATAGTTGTTCGAAATGAACGATATTTATATAATTTTTTAGGGAATTTCAGTACCTTAAGAAAAACGACAGGTTAAACGGTGTTTATTGTGCATGGAACACCCAATTTGTGTCACAGGCATCAGTAGACAAAACTGTACAAAATAAAAAAAGAAGCAACAAAATCTGTTCACTAGTTCCTGAGAAAATTTTTGGCACAGACAGACCAATGGCTAAAAATGTGTTTTTCGAACTCTGGGGGCTCTGAAACGTATAGGTCCGTCGTAAACCACATATCGGAAATTTGACCCGATCGTAATACTTTCCTTACCTAGTATAGGTAGGAAAGTAAAAAGACAAACTATAAATTAACTTGTATATATACATACCATTAATTCCCAATCGGTCTCATTTACTAATACAAGGATCCCTGGTCGACTGAAAGATAAAAAGAAATAATCATGATTATTATGATGAAACATAGAAGGAAATAATAAACTTTACTGATAAATATTATGGACATGGGTTCATTTACATACGTCATTAAAAATGTTAGTCCTGACATGATGAGTTAACATCTAGGTGGTAAGATAGCATCAATTTAGAACATGCAGATTTCAAACTGATGAAAATGTATCAACTTTAGAGGAGACAACCTCGGTAATAGCTTATAGTACATGAAGGAATTTAATATTTTTAACTAATTAAATGCTTTAAGTTTTTGTAAATGTAATATTTTCCAAAATCAATAAAGTCAAACAAGATGAAACCTTGTCATCAAATATGAATAATAAACTTTACTGAGAAATACAGTAATTGTTCAGTAGTATCAAACAAAATTAAACCTTATCTTATCATAACACAAATATTCATGCTATCGAGATGAACAGTCCAAGCAGTGAAAGTTTAGAAAAAAAACTGGTGCAGTGCGCACATCACACAATTTTCACTTACCAATCTTAGAGTAGATAGTTATTTACTTATAGGAAGTCAAAGTGAAAACGAGGGTATAACTTCAATTAATAATCATGTTTTTCTCGCCCATCCAATCCAAGTTAAATTTAAACATTTGCATGACTTTCCATTTCCTTTTACAACTGTATATAGTATCAAACAATACTTATGAATCTGGGAAAAATGGGTCTTTTGGAAAAACTCTGAATTTCATAGGAAACATTTAACACAAAACTCGTCGAAAAAATAATTTAACATTAGTAAATATTGCATATTATTAGGTTTATATTAGTGAATTCACAACATTTCATGTGAAAACCTTTTTAAAATATTATAGATAAGTGATTCATAAAAGTTAAACTAACAATATTAAAGCCATGTACCGAGGGGTATCGGGTATTTAGATTGTTAACGCACATAGAGACCATTTTGTAGGGCTTGATTATTTCGACTCAGGATACCTTAAAACATATATTTCCGTTGAAAACACAGATTCGAAGGTGCATATTTAATTATGGAAGGAAGTTAGTCAGACTGTTCTACATTTCATGAATGATAAATATTCAGGACGCAGTCATCATAAGATTTTTATTAGTGCCTACGTTTCAACCCAAACGACTTTTTGCCCTTCGGACGCTTACCAATCGATACAGCGCATATTAACTTTTTAGGAATTCTTTCGTTTCAACAAAAGCAATTTTAAATGCCCATTTTATTCGGCTAAACTTAATCATCTCAATTATATTAACTGGATACAGTTCACGCAATTCAGTGTTGTGTAACTGCCTAAATTCTGCGGTAGACTCGTCCTTTATTTTCAAAAACCTTAAGATGTTGCTCATCCTTTAATGGAAGCGGCCAAGTTTCGAATCCATAAAGAACCGTAGGAAGGATAATGGTTTTGTAAATTCTAATTTTTAAGTTTCGGGAAAGGAGGTGAGAACTAAGTAGTTTTGATAAAGAAAAATAACTAGCATTTCCCGCCTTCAACCTAACCTTTTTTTTTTTTAATTATTATTATAACTATAACCAAATATTTATAAAAAATTATTTCACAACCCAATTTGTATGAAAACAAAGCTGGATAGAAGTCAATTAAATCTACAAAGTAGGAAAATATTAAAACAAAATCATTAAAAATTTAGTTGAGAATTAAATTAATTTTTTAAAAGCTACCCTGTCCTATTACTTTTGGATACATTTAATACCTAAAATCATGTGTGCATTCGAATATATCAATAAACAAAATTTCAACTTACACTGAATCTCCATGAAAGAAGAGGTCAGGTCTTTCTGCTATCAAATTATCTTTCATCCAAATAAGTAACTCACGTACAGTCCCTGTGAAAAAAAAATTGTTATAAACAGTGCAACCATTTTTTAAGCTAACAGACATTATTGCATACCATGGAAAGAAAAAATGAGTAACCAATTAATTAAATAAATATATTTGGCTTGGTAGAAATTAGCAATCTAAACAAAAATAATGAAATATAGTTAAAAAAATATATTGAAAAAATCTGTTCCACTACGTAAATTACCATGAAGGGTCTTAGGTTCAGTACTTTGAAAAGAAGTAATGTTTCAAAATCAACAGTTGTGCAGAGAGATGATCAGACCGGGATCACACTCAACCCCCAAGTTTTCTCTCTAATTAATTACTTAATTAAGAGTACCCATTTCATAGAGGCTGAATGTGCTTAGGAGAATCCGTCAACCCCAGAGTTGATCTATGGCTGATGAAAAAATACTTGTCATCAGCCGGATTCGAACTTGTGACATTGAGCTTTGGAAGTCAGTGCTTACCCACTGAGCTACCCTGCTTCGGAAATAATGTGATATAAAAAAGAATAAATTAAACAATGAAAAAACATAGAGCGAACATATCAGTGGCAGAAAAGTTAAGAGAAAAGGAAGTGAACAGTAAAGAAAAAGTAATTAAGGAATTATGTGGTTAGAATCTAGGATGGGATACAGGCGTTTTAAGATGAGATTTTCCAGGATTTTGCCCATGATGGGTAAAACAAAGATAGGATGGGTATTCTGAGGCTTATGTATCATTTTGACAATAGATAGTTTTCAATGGTCAGAAAAAGGGGGAACGGATTACGACATTATATATATAAGAAAAGGAATAGAATGGCTTTTTGAGGAAATAGTTTAAGGATATGGGATGTGATTAGGTCGTGGCAAGGGGCTTTGCGGAAGGGTAATCTGGGAATAATATTGGATATTTCTGAAGGATGAAATGCTTTAGGAGGAGGAGTCATTCGGAGTGGAATATTCAGTTATGCATCAATACATTTAAGGTGATTTGGATTAAGGATATCAGGATGTGGATTAAAGGTTTTGTTGAAGAGGAGGTGAAAATTTGGGATTTTTCTTTGTCAGATTTGGACCAAGTTTGAGCTTCGGTAAGAAGTGGATGATTAGTGTTTAAATTTCAGGAGTCTTTCAGTGGTGGCCCATGATTTGTCAGTAAAAGTTTGAATTTTGTATTTTCCAATTTTAGATTTAATTTGTTTCAGTTAGGTGTAATGAGTTTTATCTGTTGGATATATAGTTCTATGGCACTTCAATCTTGCGCTTTTTAAAAGTTAAACTTTAGATAATGTATAAGCTCATTTAATTAGCCCAATTTTATCACACATATTAGCACTCAGTATAGGAGATGAGACAATTCATAACTACAAATTCAATATCACAATTCTTCTTTTTATAATTAGCCTCTAAAATAGGTTTTCCTAAAGATTTAGAGATAAAGCCACCACACGACTTAACCTTCATTAAAGTTTTAGTCAATTTACCATCAAACACTACTTTATTCCAAATTTTTATAAATAACATGATAATATCACAAGCATATGTAGCTTAAAAATATGGGAACATTATTAATATAAATATATTCCTTCCATAAATCTGGCTTAACAGCATTCACATCAGTAATAACGTTACAATCAGACACTGAAGATAAGGTATCTTCTTTAACCTCATGAAATGCAGTTCTCTTTTACTGAGATACACCCGATTTTAAAATGATGTAGTCTTCCACATAAAACACATTTTTTCCAAATGCTGGCCAATCTCTAGGTCCGTGAGTGGTACCATATTTTTTATTTTATATAGTCTCTTTATTAGTCTTAGTACCTATAACTATGTGCTATCACTACAACCAATTATACATAGGAATGGTGTAAATGCTCAGGACATCCTTTAGTTGATAAAAAAAGTAGAGCACTCCTGATGAATTTAAAATACTTCAGCAATAATTACGACTACCTTCAAATTATTTTTTTAATTATATCAGTTTACTAAACAGAGACATTATGTTGCACAAAACTAAAAAGTACACTCACATATTCGAGAATTAGGCAACTGAAGTTCATGTTCTTTGAGATTATTAAACAAAAGCTCTGCGCCTCCTCTGAAACAATATTAATTAGCATTTATTTAAGAATATAAAGGTGAGTTTTGACATTTAATAAACTACAGGACAAACAAATATATAAATCGTTATAATGCCATGCTAGTATTTTTATATTTTCCATCTGATTTCTGTATAAAGAGATATCAAATAAATAGTTTGGTTAAGCAATAATATCGTTATTAGTCAAGTTAGAAAATTATGTTTCCCATAGTTTGTGAAATGTCTAAATGCATCTTAAAAATAAAAAAATAATAACAACTCACCCAAATTCTAATGTTACAGGCATACATTCTGAAGTCATCATCAGTGTTGTTTATTCTTTAAACATGAATCATTAATAAATCTTGAAATCAAATGAATGAATACAAAAATAAAATAAAGTCAATAACTACACCATAACTGACTACTATAACTCAAACCTCCACTAGCATATGAGCACATGTCAAACCTAACTGGGAGGTTTCAACCTACTGAAATCGCCGCTTCCATCTAATATGATGTTAAAATTAAATTATTAAATGCAAATTATGTGTGTTAACTGATACTATTGTTTATTCCGAATAATCTGTATACTCCAGACAGGTGACTACCTATGAATGTTTATAAAGCCCTGTTAAGAATTCATTACATTTCTTCATCACTTGACAAAGTAAGCGGGTCACAATGGTTATTTATATATGATATATTTATTGAATCGAAAGTGTTTTCTGTAATATTAATTTATGCTCGTAGTTAATTTTAAGATTAGGTTTGGTTTTCAGAATGGACATTGTAGGAAATTTGCCTCAAGAAATTAGTCAGCATGTTTTGTCATTTCTAACACCCACAGAGCTTTTTAAATGTTTTCATGTTTGTAAGAAATGGTATAATTTAGCTAATACAGATTTCCTTTGGAAAAGGCATTGTGTATTAGAATTATTATTAAGTGCTGATACAAACATACCTCTGTCGAGTAAGTATAGAAATACCTGTTCTACAGCCCTATGTTCAGCATTTGTTTTTATGAATACATTCTGCATTATAAAACTTTATTATTTTAGGTTCAAATGGGCCACTCTGCAAGTGGGGAAGTATCTATAGATCTTTCAAAAGGAAAGTTAACAGGTGGGAACATGATTGTGCCCAGTGTTTCAATGTTACTCTTTCTAGTTTAAACTCTGTCATTGCTTTTGGTGAATTGTCTTTTGTAGTATACTACTTTTTACCTCTTGAGTCACATCTGGAGAAATTATATGTTTATCGATTATGTGAAGAAAAAGTAAATTGTGAACAAATAATTGAATTAGAGTTACCTGGCCGGGGTATTGTTCAGTTGATCACAAATGACATTTACACATTAGTTTCCAGAGATAATTTTATTTTATGCTTTAAGAAAACTCCTGAAAAACATATTACTTATGTTGCTATATGTCTAAGATCAGGTGTTTTAGAATATACTACCGAAGATATTATATGTTTTATAAATGCTAAAAGTTGTCTTGATCGAGAACTAAATATCAGAGAACTATGTAATAGTTATCTATGGTTTGAAGATAGCAGTAAGACTATTCATGTTTTTAATTTAGAAACAAATGAATTTTTAAAAATCAGTCCACTCCAGGAAATGAAACGTATGTGTAACTTAATCACAACATGGTCAGAATCTGAGGTAATAGTTTATTCTCCAGGTGGTGAAGTTCTTTTAAATTTGCCTATTGATTATGTCCAAGATGTATTTTTGAATAAAACTACTCTTGCTTGTCTCCACCCTGCCAAAGGGCAACATACAAGAGTACTACAAACATTTGATGTCAAGAGTGGCGAAAAACTTATGCAAAAAAATGTCATGAGGTTTGCCGATATTACTCTTCATTCAAGTTATGATTCAATTTATATTTTAGAAAGAAGTAGTCGTGATTTATATAGGGTAAGTTCTCTTTGTGCTAGGACTGGACAAATCCAGTGGAATGTATCCTTACCTAATATGTTTTATAATCTTTGGCCTGCCATTTTACACGTTGTTTCTTATAAGCATTTGTTCGTTTGGCCTTGTAACAATAGAACTGATAGATATTCTATTTTTAATCTGAAGACTGGTAAAATGCTTTATGCAAGCTCAAATACAGGAAGTATACAATATATAAACGAAGGTGTGTGTATTTCTGTAGATGGTAAAGTGGTTCATATCAAAAGCTTTTTGTGATAAATTCATTAAATATAATTATATTTATATACCATTTTTCTCAATGGCATACCACCAGTTGTAGATACCTTTTAAAAGATCTAAATTAATTAGGAAATTAAATTATTGTTACTTTTGCTATTATAAATTTATTTCTGTAACAAATGTAGTCTCCTACATTTTGTACTTTCAGATTACATGGAATCTATTAGCATATGATTCCTACTCATAGTTTATTTGTTATACATTTCTAGTAGTTTAATAAACCTGAATCAGTATTAATGTTTAATAGTTACTTATAATGTGGACAAATTTCAGATTTTGTGTATGTGTAATTATATTATTTCCACAGACGTTTATTTTTAATAAATTAAATTTAAAATATAATAATGTTAAAATACAGTTAGCAGTCTTTGATATTAATTATTTATCTCTTTGTTCATATTCTAACAAACCTTTTTCCTTTCTTATCCTTATATTTAATGATTTCGATAGTTTATCTAAATATTTTTGATTGCTTGTATGTACGTATTTACATATTTATAAAATTATACTTATTCCAATTAAGTGATGCTGTCTTATGCTTTGTTTTTTTTAAGATATAAAATTGGTTTAATGCCAGTTCTAGTGTAGTTTCAATCATGACTTATTAGTGATGGATAATAGCATATTTTGTGAAACAGTTAGTGACCCTTATAATTTTAAAGTGAGATAAGTTGGAAAATTTGTAACAAAATTAATGAAATATAAACATGCATGTGCAAATTTATGATCTTCATTTATTAAATCTAGTTAGGGTCATTTTTATATCCTGTATGTTTTAATATTGATCAAGAAAAATTCCATAATTTAAAAATTAAACTTCCCCTACAGTATGAGGCCATTGTGCTGAATGCATTGCGGTGAGGATTCCAGAATTGGAGTGGTGTACTTTTAATTCCCATTTGCGTCAGTTAACATTTATTTTGATATGGTCCTGCAAAATGAATCTTGCATGCTACTCTAGTAAATTAGAAAAGGCTATATCCACTCTTCCAAAGTTTATCCTTCTCTAATAAGCCAAGAACTACAGGGTGATGACCTCTAGGAAGCTTAGTTGGCTTCATAGACAAATTGAATCTTACTTTTTCATTTTTTTTTGTTTAATGTCTATGTCATTGACAATGAGACCATTTGGCTTATTGAATCACTTAACAAACAATTTTTCGCTGTCAATGTCAGTTTGTCTTCCCATAATTTTACCCATAATACCTATCGCTCAACCATCTACTACTTGGGAAGCGAAACTTGAAAAGTAATTAAACAATACTTTTTTTTTTTTTAATTTTTACCTTATATTAGGTTAATAATTTTTTAATACAAAACAATTTATATAATATAAAAATGAGATATAATAATGTTATTTTCCAAGAAGCTAATTAATTAATAATCAACAAAATAGGGCCCATTTTCCACCAAAAAAAGAAGTACAAGAACAATAAAACAACTTTGATTTAGTTATATCACACATCTATATATCGGTTCGGCCTTTTTCAAACTTATCTTCATAAACTGTTCTGATACCTATAATTTATTTTTATTTTCTCTTACCTATATATGTTATATTTAGTGAGGAAAAATATTGCGATTGTGAACATTTTTTATTTTGAGTTTTCATGGGAAATATAATAACCAAATAACTAAGTACCGCAAAATGGTTTGTATGTGTGTGAACAGCCTAGCTCAAAAACGAAAAGTTGTACGAAACTGCTATTACTTATTTAAGATAGGTATATGTCTGGGATATGATGGTAACTATTTCGTCAAAATTCCCTAACCGGAAGAGCCACTTGAGGAAGAGAAATATTATTTTTAAACAGACCAATGTTTTATAACATGTATTTGCTGAGTGCCTGAATGCTTTATATATATATACATTTAAAGATTATTACTTTGGAAGAACAACAAAGAAACTAATTACCTATATGAAATAGTGTTTAAATGAATCATGACGTCCTATCAAATATAATTACAGGAATAATAATACTTTTATAGATAATTTTTTAATATGTTTTTCATAAGACATGTTTATATTTTACCATTTTCGGGGGCTTCAATCAAAATTATTTTTTCTTCCTCTAACTACACCATACCAATTATGTCACTATGAAATTGTAGAAAGGTTACATCATTCTGCTTTTTGACAAATGGCATAATTTTTATTATAAAATTTTATACATTTTTATGATTTTCTCGAAAATGGTTCTAACAAGTTTGATTAAATTCTTTATATTTGTGCAAAATTACAATTGCACTTTTAATATAATATAGGTCTTATTCTCATTGATGTTCTCTAACAGGGGTTAAATGCCTAATTTTCAAAATTTCTTCCTCTAAAGTACCTTTAATTTATTTTATTTGAAATAATTAACCATTTCACTTTATAACGAACTATGAAAAATGGTTAAATATAAGATACAAAATTATTTTATAATTATAACAGAAATATAAAAATTAAAATGAAAACAAATAAAAAACTAAGAATTAAATATGAAAAAATAAAGCAGCCTTCTTTATTTGTGGAAATGTTGTCAGATTAAAAACATTTCATGACACTTAATTATTTATTATTGTCAAATAAATAATTAAAATACATGGTTAGAGTGTAAAAAGAAATGGTGAAGTGCCAAAAAAAGCATAAATATAATAGTGGACACCTGTGAAAAACATATGGTAATTGTTTTAAATATTTTCTACTGTATGTGATTTTTACTTTCACTTTCCTTTCCCTGGAAATACCTATTTCTGCTAGTGTTGAGCGAAAGTTGTGTGTTGTGAGTATCGCACCAGATTTTTTGTCTTATTTTTAAAATATATATCAGTATTTTCTATAAGCAAAACTTTTTTGTCAGTCAAATCTTTGTGGTATTTTTTTTTCTAAACACAGAAAAACTTTTAGTACCCAATAAATAAAAACAAAATTGATACATACAATATAAATAAATTAATAAGTGCTTTAGCTGCCATCGACAACCCATCCTCAAGTAATTCTATCATTAAAGAAATAATAAATGTATGGTGGGGAGTAAAAAAAAGGACATGTCAATAGTGTTCATTTGGGTACCAGCCCACTGCAGCATTGTGGGAAATAAAAAAGCTTACCAAGCAGCTCATTTAGCCAGAAGTGAAGAAGAAACGGCAATGACAAAATTTAAGAAAGTTATCTTAAAAGACGGTATACCACGCAAAAAAAAGACAACTAACAGAATGAGAGAAAGAATATAAAAGAATAGAATGCAAACTGACAGAAGTAAAGCCTAATTGTGGCAAATCGCTTACAAGTGACAGAAGTTTAAGGAGAAAATAATTTATGTATTGCCGACTAAGGATAGGATACTGCTAGTTTACGCATGGCTACCTTCTGAGAGGACTCGAAGTGCCCATGTGTGAAAAATGTAATAATGTTCCAGAAACAGTGAAACACATACTGGAAAAATGTCCTAAATTTGAAAATTACAGATGAAAAACAGGCTTAGCCAAAACATTAAGAGAAATCCTTCAAGTTACTGAAGAACAAGTCACTACTTTGTTTAAATTTTGAAAGTTAACAGAGTATTATACAAGAATATAAATTGACGTAAAACGCCAATGACCCTTGAGAGTAGAGGTGTGAAAGAAAAGAAAAAAATTATATGAATTAATTGACCAATTAAAAAAGAGGATATTTTCCTTTTTTTGTTTCTATTTTTTTTATTTTTTATAATGTTTAAAGTATTTCCACCAAAGAGTGCAGCTTTTCCTCCATTTTCACAAAAAGTACTTATCTGAATAAAAAGTTCTTATCTATACATGTGCATAAAAAAAGTAGGTAAATCGTACATATGAAATTAACCTATTTTTAAAATAAAATCAATAAATTTTGAATAGTAAGACCTATTTAAAAAATATACTTTTTCTTTAATTAAAGGTTTTTTATGTTTTTAGAATACAAATATCGCCAATGTTTGACTGACAAAAAGATTTTGTCTGAAGAAAAAATTGATGTATATTTTAAGAATGAAATAATAACTTTTTTTTATATTATAGGTGTTAAATGGTTTATGAAGATATGTTTGAAAATGGCAAAAGACCGAAAAGCTACATGTATAATTGTGTAATATAACTAAATAAAAGTTATTTATTGTTAATGAAGAGATTTTATTATTTCTCTATTTTTTTTATTGAATGGTCAACAGAAATAATTCCAGTTTGTTGATTATTAATTAATTAACTTTTTTAAAAATAACAAAGTTATTTAATTAGATGTTGGAGCAGTGCATAGAAGCGAAGTGAGCACATTTTAATTCAATTATAACAACAGTAGTTGTCAATTCATCCTTATTTTATTAATGTAATTTTTAATATTGAAATCTGCAGGGAATTGTAGTATGTTTTAATTTTTTCTGTTAATTCTTTTAAATTGAAAATATGGGACAGAGGCTGATAATATATGTATGTAAACATATATACAGTCTTAAACAGAAAAAAGGATTATAAAAAATTGTCTATTTCATTTAATGAGCTGATTATATATTTATTGCTGTACCCAAAACTTGTGTAGATGAAAATAAAGTCCTTTGACAGACTATTTTTTAATTCCTTAGCTACAAAGCCTATCATCTAGGTTTTGCTGACCATACTGTAAAACTTGTGAATAAAATATAATGATTGTGGTTTAATGGAGGCCATAAGCGTGGAAAGTGTTTTTATTTGAAGAGAGAAAAAGTTGCGATACCTAGATACCGATTTTAAATCAAACTTTGAATCCACTTTTTGGAAAAATATTTGTAACTGATGACTGGAGAAATATTATTTTTCAACAGCACAATACTTTATAGCACATATTGCTGATAGTGCCTGAATGCTTAATATATATATGTAAATCCTGTACCACTACAACCCATGAAGGGTCTTGGGTTCAGTACTATTTAGGGAAAGCACTGTTTCTAGGTCAACGGAAGTGCAAGGAGGTGATTTGACCGAGATCATGCTCAGCCACCAGGTTTTCCCCCTTAATTAATTATTTAATTTTATAGAGTCTGGGTGTGCCCCATGAGGGTCTACCGACCCAAGGTCGCCTCATGGCCAATGAAACAGATAAATAAATTTTCTGCCATGAAGCGGGGTTCGAACCTGGGACTCAAGCACTGGAAGCTCAGTACCCTACCACTGAGCTATCCCACTCCTATGTATATATTAAACAATTATTACTTGGGAAGAAACTAATTACCTATATGAAATAGTGTTTAAATGAATCATGACGTCCTATCAAATATAATTACAGGAATAATAATACTTTTATAGATAATTTTTTAATATGTTTTTCATTAGACATGGTTATATTTTACCATTTTGGGGGGCTTCAATCAAAATTATTTTTTATTCCTCTGACTACATCATACTTCAATTATGTCACTATGAAATTGTAAAAAGGTCACATCATTCTGCTTTTTGACAAGTGGCATAATTCGAATCAAAATGGTTATCAAACCTAATTTTTAATGCATATTTGCACCCCTCTCCTCCACTCCGGCACTAATCCTACACCTGTCTTGGAGAAAATTATTATTGAGCTGATACCTGGTTGTCAATAAAAGTTTATGTAGAAAAAAAAAATCTTAATATATAGTAAAACAATTTATTTTTACTACTAGTCATATTGAAATAAAATTTAAAACTAAATGTTTATTTATAGATTTTTGACATATAAGCCTTAATTCTGTTTTGTCTGATTCATCTCTTTGTGTGGAATAATTCTCATCCATAAATAAAATCTTCCTTGAATGATTAAATTTATGAAACAATATTTAGTATGAATTGTTAATATTGTTATAACATTTGAAGGATGGATAACAGTCTTATCACATTGACCTATTAGGATCTTAAGTGATTGAGAACAAACTAATAAAACATTGTAAAATATAATAACTATACATAAATATTACAAAAATAACAACTTAAAAAAAAATATAACAATAAATTAACAGACATCAGTTTGTGTACATATATATATACCTCAAATCATCATGGCAGAAACTGAATATTTTATGTTTGTAATATAAAAAAAAAAAAAAAAAGTTTATACACAAGTCTTCAAACAAAATATTACAGAATTGATTCAAGGAGTTCTTGGAAAACTTGAGAAGGTAAAGGAACACAATGAGTAGATGCATAATCTTTCATGTATTCGCCAGCCTGAAAATAAAAAGAATTGCAACAGATTTGTAGAGTTCATTTTAATTTATAGCAGTAAAATAATTGCACCACTTACTAGGGGAGATTATAGAAGTAGGGTTACTGATTTCAATGAAACTTTTTTTGGTTATACTTGGTCGAAAAATATTAGACCCATGTCTGAGGGTTCTTGCTAATGAGCCTTAGGAGCCGATAAAAAAAAATATTTTTTTGTAATGTTCTCTGCAAGGGTTTCTATGTTATTATGCATCAATCGATTTGCTTTTTTGTGTAAAATCAGAAAAAAATATTGCTAATTGTATTAAACAAATTCTTTTATATAAAGAATTACAAAAACCCACAGAGGCTTCTGGTAATTTACCGGCAAACTAGTAATTTACTGGTTGTTTCTTTGGATATCGCGGGTGCCTTTGACAACGTCTGGTGGCCTGCGGTCTTAAATAATCTAAAGAAATATAAATGTCCAAAAAACATATACAAAATCATTCAAAATTATTTTTCTGACAGAAAACTTGCAATCCAAACAAACTTTCATTATATTGACAAGAAATTGACGCTAGGAACTCCTCAAGGATCAGCACTATCACCTATACTATGGAACATCTTAATAAATACTGTTTTCGAAATAGACCTACAGAAAAATTCAACATTATTAGCATACGCAGATTTTTTATTACTTATAAAACGAAGAGATTTCGATGAATTACAGACAATAGCAAACATAACATTATCAAGACTGAGACAATGGACTAGAAGCAACAAACTTAAATTTAATCTAGACAAGACAAAATATATAATCTTCACGAAAAAGAGAATTGTACCAGAATTGGATATTCGACTCAACAAAGTAAGAATAACTCAATGTGACACATTATCATATTTGGGGCTTCTCTTTGACAGAAAACTGAATTGGAACAGACATATAGATAATCTATATGACAACACTTTAAGGATTATAAATGGACTGTCAGTGGCTGCAAGAGAGACATGGGGACTCAGATTGGAAGTGTTAAAGGAAATTTATGAAGCTGCTGTACTTCCTAAGATGCTCTAAGCTGTGCATGTCTGGCATCCGGCCGTTGAACGTAAGAAAAATTTGGTGAAGTTGGAAAGGCTTCAGAGGTTCATTGCGATTAAGATATGTAAGGGCTATCGTACACTATCATTTGAGGCCACAATATTATTGGCAGGACTGTTGCCAATCCAAATGAAGATTGAAGAACGAAGAACGACCTTATATAACAGAAAAGGAAAGAGAGGATACAAAGACCTGACCCTGGACAAAATAGAAAGAATCACTGACTGTAAATCTTGGTTACACTCTGCAACAAGTTTATGGACTGGATCAAAAATTACTTCTGAAAATACTGATGTACCATCTTGAACTCTGAACAACCATGCACATCCAATGTTCTCGCTGTCGTAGTAAGGACAGCGAGAACGTTGGATGTGCATGGTTGTTTAGAGCTCAAGATGGTAGGAATATAGAACATCAATATAAATTAGAATCATATTGCTCAAATAACCAGGCAGAAAAATTCGCTGTTTTAACGGGGACTGAATACATTTATGACTACCCTCTACAAACGAACACTCACTTAACTATAAATACATACAACAAATTCTACTAGACTCTGTTAATAATTGGGACATTCATGATTACTTGACTGACCAAATTAGAAATAAATTGTTAATGATGAGAACTGTAGGGAAAGTAGTGACTCTAAAATGGGTAAAAGCACATTGTGGGATTGAGGGCAATAAACGAGCCGATTGCCTTGCAAAAGAAGCAGCTAAAAGCGATTTGCTGCCATCGTATCATCAAGCTCCTTTATCGTATATTAAGATGAATTTAAAGTTGGATTTCATCAAAAGATGGGATCACAAATGGGTGACCTCAGCTAAGTCACCAAGCTTACACAGATTTATACCACACATTTCAATTCACAATTACAGACACATTCACAGTAATAACTACAAACTTACACAAGTACTTATGGAACATGGGAATACAAAACAATATCTTAAAAGATTCAACATTATACAAACAGACTTATGCGATGAAGACGGACAGGTTCAAAATTTTAAACATATAATATATGAATGTAAACGATTTGACAGACAGCGATTTGAGTTAATAAAAAGCATAGTTATCAAAAGTGGAAATTGGCCTGAGACGGAACAAAAGTTATTTACTGAATTCAAGACAGACTTTCTTAGATTTATTAGATCTATCGACTTCGACTTACTTACCAGGGATGGGCAGCGTGGGTGATTTCTTGTTGGCTTTGTTGGATTGACTTTCTGTGTTTAATATTTAATATTCCGATTTAATTTTTGTTTTATTTTTGTGTGTTTATTCTTTGTATTTTTGTTTGTTAATGTATATAAATTTGAACTAAAAATGTATATAATGTAAAACTAGAAAAGAAACAATTGTAAACAAATGTAATTCATGTAGTATGTCTTTAAGGCATGGAGCATGAAGGAAAATCAAATAAACGATCCTTGTGTGGAGTTACCACACAGGGGGAAAAAAAAAGAAATAAATAAAAAGAGGCTTCTGGTAAAGTCGACCAAATAAATTTTTGTTCATACTATGAAATATATTTGTTTGGAACAAACCATGATGATATTCATTTTCCACACCTCTGAAAACCCTTAACTATGAATTTTCGTTGCAATCGAAAAATGTAAGTTTTTTTTTCTATATTCTGCCTTCTATTAATAGCTCTTATCAGATGCATCTATGTTTATAGTAGATATTATTACAGCTAAACATATTTATTTTCCGATAGTAGTCATAATTCCCTCAATATTTAAATATATTTAACAGTTTTAATATCTATTATAAAGCTATAAACATCATTGTTTATCCCAAAACAATATATTTCATAACATAATCTTTATATAATATGTACTATACATGCTTTATTCTTATTTTCGAATCGAATCTCGACAAAAAACCAACTTCGGTGCATGTAATCCTACTTTTATTACCCATCTGATTTAGAAAAAATAAATATTTGGCATACAGCGATACAGGCATACAGCTATAGTATGAGAAAAATATTGAAACGATTAGTACTGACCTAAAGAGTAAAGTGGATTTAAACATTTTTTGAAGGAGAAGCGAAGTTGAGATTTGTATTTTGCACTTCAAAAAACCCTTAAATATGAATTTTCGCCTAGACTGGAGCCTTCGATTTTTTTCTAGAAAATCACAGAAGTTGTGGTAACTTTGACATGGCTCCACTTATCCACATTGAAATTGGCACTAAGTAGATGCCTGCTAATAAATTAGGCTTGGAAATAAAAAATAAAAATGTTTTGGAAATTTTCCTTGATTTATTCTTAATAAAGGTATAAAATCTAAAAGTTATTGATATGGTTTTGAAGAGAAATAATTTAGCTTTCCAACTTTGTAATATTTCTAATAACATTGACTCTGAAGAAAATCCTGAGGAAGTTATAAATATTGTAGTATACAGCATGAAAAAAAATATTCTCCCATAAAATTAAGTCCAAAATATATATTTTTTTATTTCAAAACAAACTTCTATTTAAGAGTTTTAGTGTACTCTAAAATTGAATCAGAATGGTTTATTTTGTATAGCAAATATTTACTTGGCCTACTTTACTGGAAGCATCTATCTATGTGTTTTTGTAATTTATTATATACAATGATATGAAAAACAGCTGTTGATGTTAAATAAGGTGAAAGGTTAATTTAGTATTGTCTTCCAAAAAAATGTTAATTAAGTGTAAATACCTAATTTTTTTGTAACAAAAGTGTTTTATCAAGACAAGATTGCTAAGGACAAAACACCAAACAAAGATTGAGCGGATTTCACCGCCAACAATGGTGGAATCATCTCAAACTGAGGTAAGTAACATGAACTTTAAAAACAGTGATATAAACAATGAAGACGGCTCCTGGGAACTGGTTATTGGTCGTAAAAGACCTATGATAGATTCGAGCGAGCCAAGAGCTCAAAAAAGACCGACAGAATCTATCCCAACCTCGAACAGTTTTCAGGTTCTAACCAACATTACTAATTTGCAAATAGAAGAAGTTAGAAGAGCGCCTCAGAACAATAAAACTCCACCAATTTTTATAAACGGTGTTGAAAATTACCATGCATTAATCTCATTTCTAGAAAACGAAACGGGTCCTAATATGTTTAAAACTAAGTCTACATTGATAGGTGTCACTCTGTACCCAGAAAATCCTGACGTTTATCGAAAATTAAATTCTAGCCTGCGAAATAAAGGCGCAGACTTCCATACCTACCAACTTCCACAGGACAAATGCCCAAGGATTGTTGTTAAACATCTTCACCATGGAACACCAATCGATATCATTAAAGAGGAATTTAAAAAATTGGGTTACGAAGCCACCAATGTAGTTAACGTCATATCTAGATTCAAAAAACCCCTTCCTAAGTTCTTTGTGGACATTACAAAAGAGACATTTAGAGAAGAAATTTTTAGTATTGAATTTCTTTATTATTCACATATTAAAATTGAGGAACCGCGTCAAAAGAGAAATATTCCTCAGTGTGTTCGGTGCCAGCAATATGGGCACACTTAAACTTATTGCAACCATCGACCACGATGCGTAAAGTGCGGTGAATATCATGAAACCAGCTCATGTTTGAAAATGAGAGACACCCCCGCGAAATGCGCCAACTGTGCCGGTCAGCACCCCGCTAATTACAGAGGCTGCCAGACGCTGAAAGATCTCAGGTTTCAGCGCAATGCAAGAAATCGTCTTTAGCGTTCCACAGTAGCAGAGCCAGTGCAGGGACCTCCAGGCATGCATGAATTCCCTCCAATACGGCAACGTCACAACCAAGGGGAACCACAGATCATCGCAGGATCTCCGCAACAACAAAATCAAATATCATCTAGTTCAGCACTCCCGAACCAGAAAACATGTACAGGTACGAGAAGAGGCATTACCCAACCGATACCTCCAGTAGATAATGGCTCTTCTC